AATACTCAGAAAATGAAATCTAAGAGTATGAGAAATATGCCTGGCACACTGTAGGCACTCTAACAGTAGCCTAAAAGCACTTAGTAAATATCTGTGGAATAAACGAAGTAGCTATTTGGTGTGATCTCTGTCTACTTTGTTTCCAGTCTTTTCCTTTACCTTCTCCTCTAGTTTCATTCTCACTGGGCTCAGCATGGCCTCAGGGAAACAGGGATGGTTTCTAAAGCTTACCAGCATTCCAGGACCTGCTTTCATGTGGGGGGAGTCTAGCTGAGGCAAAGCCTCAGGGAGCAGCCCTTCTCGTACAGGGAGGGTTCTCTGTTCTCACCCACCAGTGGGGTCATAAGGGTATCCTAAGCCTTTCTGCCTAACTTCACACATTGGTTCCCACTGCTCAGAGTGGTTCCTCTCTCCCTTTGTTCACATCGGTAGGAATCTCAGGAACTTCCACCAGTGTTTACTTCTTTCATGTTGTTTGGGGCATCGTTCTGCAAAGTGAAGGGTTGCGGTTTGATTCCCAGTCAGGGCACATGCCTGGGTTGTGGGTTTGGTCCCTGGCTGGGTGCATGCAAGAGGCAAACTGACCGATTTCTCTTTCTCACTTCGATGTTTCTCTCCTCTTTCTCTCTCCCTGGCTCCTCTCTCTAAAAATAAATAAAACCTTTAAAAAATTTTCCTTCAGAAACAAAATCCTTGGTGGAGTTGGCTCATGCCTTCTACTGTTAGGTTTTGCCACCCAAAGGAGCAGCATAACTACATGTTCTTACGGTCAAGGGATGGGTGAACGGGGACCCCTGTGAGGAGGGGCTCCCCAGCTCCGTAACAAGGCACAAGTTGGGGAGGTCTGACCACTAGTCGACTCTGGTCCCAGCCCTGGCCACAGGGACAGGAATAACAGGCAAAGCTGGTATCAGCCCCCCAGAAGAACAAAGAAAATGGCAAAGCTCCCCATATCTTTCTATTTCGGGCACCAAGTCAGAGGGAGTCAAGGGAATAGGAGAAACCAAAGACACCAACCACGTCACTGCTGCTTCTTGAGTCATTTATCAGTGTCCACAGGCCTCGGCAAGCATCTCTCTGAGCTCTAAGCGAGGGTTATCGAGGCTCACGAGGAAGGGCGGACACCGGTGACCACAACCTCACTGCGGGAAAGAATTCAAGGCTGGAAAAGGCAATGAGAGGAGCCAGCACAAGGCCCAGACTGAGGCTGCTTTTCTTCAACGAGTCTGCTGGCCCACGTCACGGCCTCTCATTAAGCATCCACTTGACGCCAGGGAAGTGAAATTGCACAGACCTGGCACCAGAAGGAACAAACGTGGCACCCGCTGCTCCTTTTAAGGACTGGCCAGAGGAGCAGCAGGCCCCAGGGAAGGAGGTGAGGAAACACACCAATACCTTTGTGGGACGGGGAGGGAGGGCTCTCTCAGGCCGGCCTCCTTCTGAACGAGCTCTCCAGGGCACGTTCTCCTGCAACTGCCAGAAGTGACCAACAACGTGGGCTTTTCCCTCTTTGCTCACCAACTCTGGCAACACAGCATCTCCTCCCCGCCCCCTAGCAGGGCAGCTAGCTTCTGCCAAGAAAGAGCATCAGAAGTCCCCCTCAATAATCATCTGTGAAAACAGAAACACCCTAACCCTAACCCCCAGATTCAGAGGGAAAGGTTGGGCCTGCAGTTCTCACATTTTAGTGCTCATCAGAATCGCCTGGAAGGCTAGTTGGAACACGGCACTGGGCTCCATCCCCTGAACCTCTCATTCAGTTGGCCTGAGATGGGGCCCAACACATGGCATTTCTACCAAGTTGCCAGTGGTGCTGATGCCGACGGTCACAGCACTGGCATGATGCTTGCTCCCTGCCCCTTCGCATTTCTCTCTGAGCATCGGTTTCCCAAAGGGACAGACTGCCTTGAACATGAACCTCCTCGTGTGTGTACGCTGTGCCTTTATTCCCAAGGTCTCCAAGCTCTGTCCCATCTATTACCACCATTCGCTCTCATGCGGTCCCATTAAGTCAGGAAAAAGAGAGGAGTCAGGGGCCATAACCAGTGGCTGCTGCCGAGTCCTCAAGCCTCCTGTTTCCCCAAGAGCATGCTGCCTCCCACCCAGGTCCCCATGACAGCGTGAGCTGTGAGGGCTCAGAGGCTGGCTGCTGGGACAACGCTGCCCAGACTGACCAGCAGCTGAGGGAGGAGGTAGCCTCCACAAGACGGTGTGGGGAGGCCTCGACTCGTGACCCAACACACCACGGAGGCGGCAGAGAAAGGTGTATTTAAAAGGAAATCCTTGGTGATCAACACAATTACTTTTTTGGACAAGTTGGCTGGGACTTTTGAGGCTCACTTGGCCTACTGTAGACACTAAATAAATAGTTCTTGAATTAATGGTAGTGGTTTGTGGAAAATAATCTAAGTTAAGTTAGAACCTTACAGCTGTTTAACTGATAGGCTACCGCAAAAACGGATCCCTGAAGGTAAGAAAACAGGGCATAACAGGGATCCTTGTTGGCGTGACTGTCAATTCCTCTTTACGGGGCGGGGCCCGCAAGGTGACCCTGCGGTCCTGCACATTAACAGGCAGAACAGGGAGGCTGGTCCACCTGCTGTTCCTGCTGACTGGGCGGCTGGCGTGTGCCGTGGGAGCCGTGCTGTTTCCGCACTTAGGATGGAGAGTCTAGTAGAGTCTGGCTGTGCGGTAAAAAAAAAGTTTTTGTTTTTCTATTTTTAAAATTAGCTCCTGGAGGCAACAAAGAGCATAACATAGGTTTTCTGGCAGCAGAAACCCACAGGCCATGTCAGCAAGTAAAACAGATGTGGCCAGAAAACTGTTGATGGATCAACATTACGCATAGGGCCGGACAGAGGAGACCACGAATGGATCACGTATCTCTGTCACCTCCATTACGCTCCACATGGAACACCGCTACGGACTGGCGCCTGCGAAGAACAGGCAGGCCAAGCCCGAGTCCCTCAAATTGGAAATGCAGAAAACCACCACTAGAATGGCCAGTGCAACTGTTTTCCAGGGGTTCTCTCGAGCAGCCCATCCACTCCCTTGAACCAGATTGTGGGCTGTGGATGTGGGTCCACAAGTGGATTATGACAGTGACACCACAATGACCCGAAGAACAAGTCTATCCAACACAGTGACCAACTGTGAGCAGTGACAAACTCAGAGCACTGACTACTGCGCCAGGCACGGAGCGCAGAGCTCAGCACTGGACGTGTGAAATGAGCAAAGTCACTGTGGTCCCTCCCTCAACCCAGTGGGGGTGGGGGCACCAGAGTGCAGTTCTTGCCCTTTTGTTACGGCAGTTACAATTCCAGAAATACCTCCATTCTCTGCAGACAGGAAGGGGAGGACAATTATTACCCCTTTTAAATAGCTGTGGTAGCCCTAAAGCTCGGGAGCTGACCTTTCAGTTCCCCTTAAAGAAACATGGAGAAACAAGTAGATGCTCTCCACTCAGCATTTCAGAACAGGATATAAATACTCAACTAAAAGAACACAACTCAACTAAAGAACACACTATCTTAGAATTCCCTGGTGAAAACTGAAAAACAAGGTAGACAGAAAATGGCCTCATACTGTGCAGAAATCTAGAGCTCTTAGGAAGAAAAATATTTCTTATGCTTAAAATTTCAGAGAAACACTTCTTTGTACCTCGGCATCCACGGGGGAGAGAAATGATACCCACACAAACTCAGTGTAACCAGCTTAGCCAACTGCTGGCCCATCACCCCCAACACTTCACTTTCCAAAGAGGATTATCTCTTCCTTCAAACCCAGGCTGTCAGGGAATAAGTGCCTGTGGTAACTTCTAACACAAGCAAACACCTAGAAATGATCCTGGTGGTGCAGGTAAAAAGCAGTTGAAAGTAATCCCCTTTGCACAAACCTCTCCTTCCTGGCTCAAAAGCCAATGGACAATTTTGCAGCGAATTTCTAACCCTTGAAAACAGAGCTATTCAGACCACTGCTCCCCACCAACTGGGCCCTGTTCTGTGAACAGGGCTCTTCTCATCAGCCAGCAGGTGCCTGCCACACACACGGCTGTACAGGCCCACCCTGTGAAGCCCTGGTGCAGCTGCAAAAGCCGCAGGTCACCGGCTACAGAGAGGGGGACTGACTGGAAGAACCTTGAAACTCTTTCCCTCCCCTTCTGCTCTGCCTTACCAAGACCTCTCTTAGAAACCTATTGTGTAGGCTGAAGAGAGAAATAAAGAAGGGCGGACTTTTCCATGCTCCCCTGCAGACTACAGGGTGATGTAAAAGTGCAGCAGCCACCCCCTAACAGCTCTGGAGAAGTGCAGGCCCCAGGGGGCCCTCCAACACTGGCTTCTGGTTGTGTACTGGGCAGCATTGTCTAAGAATGAACTGAGCTCAACTGCTTGCCACATATTTTGCAGGATAATTAATCCCTCATTTTTGTGCTTTTCACCCACATGTCTTTTATTGTTTGCTTTAGGGAGAGAAAGAGCCTCACCTTTGAAGCGACCTAAAGCTTCTCTCAGCCATTTGGCTCTTTCACCTCCTCCACTGTAGACAAAGCTCTGACCACTGCAGACTCCTCACTGTCTTTCCCAGTGTTTGCATTTCTCGAGTTATCTAGGGGCCAACAGTTTGTTTAAAGGTGAGAACAGTGATGCCCTCAGCCAGCTCACTATTTGCAATAATTCTTAATATGCATGGTGGCTGGTCCTTTGGCTTCCTTAGTTTGGCATATGCCCAGTCCTTTAAGAGCATAACTTTTTTCAACCTTTTTTAAGCTAGATATCACTGTTCTTCCAACCCCATCGTTGCTTCCCGACTAAGATGGATCCTGCTGCCCTTCACGAATCAACTCAGTCGAGCTGCACAGCACTGAGAGCAGGAGAGTGACTGTTTTCCCTCCCATACCAGTTCATCACCACCCACCCATGTCTCAGACCACCTCCTCCTTCAACCTCCACGCCTTCCCAAAGAAATTCCAGAACTGGAGCGATCAACTTACACAGCTTATGTGTGGAGTTTTTAGAATGTATTTTTGTTCACCTGAAAAATAAAACTTTTAAAAAATATACAAGACTTTTTGAGTACAGGTATATCTTAAATGGCTGCATTATAAATAATGTCTCTGGTCATGTTCACAGCTAGAGCTGGAACTAATGTCCCGATTCCAGTGAAGGCTTTAGAGAGTCAGGAGGCCAGCAGCTGGACCTGTGAGCGGTCTCTTTAGACTCTTTGATCCGTCCCAGAGTGGATTAAGCAGTCCAAAATGCAGGGGTCGGGAAGGGGACAGGGGATTGGACTCTCAGATGTTCTCCTGCAAGTTCAAAGAATTCTTGGAATAAGAGATCAATTTATAAATTATTAAAATATAGGACTAAAAATTCACACAATAAATATAAATTACAGGCTATTATTGAAGTTATAAAGTGGCATTTTTATGTTTCTTCCCCCAGGCTCCCACCAAAAATTTTAAAAGGCCTCAGAGGCTTTCTAATGACCAAAGTCAAGTCAGCTGCTCAGAAATCTGCTCCAGCCAAGACACCCTTGGGGTGCTACCAGCCTGCCCCTAGGCTATGACAGCGCAGCTGCTGTTATCTCGCCTCCTACAGGACAAGGCTTAAAGCAAGGCTGTTCATCTTGTGAACTGGGATCAGAGCTAACTGGAGTGCAGGCCAGAAAACTGGAGAGAAAAACTGCTTCCGGACTCAGGTGGCTAAATTTTTGTCTTGTTTTAAAAAAGTGCCTCATTTCCCAAAAAGGAAACACTAAGGGGTTTGATATCTCATCACTACCCACACTCAATTGCCTAAAAGCAAGTGGCAGAAGGAAATGGAATCTGAAATTGAGGATGTATCATTCTTGCTGCCCCAGAGCTAAACAAATGTCATTTCCCTTGATGATTCTCATTTCAGTAAAAGTACAGGCTGTATATAAGTTTATCAGGAGAGGTAAAGACAAGCCAATTTAACTTTCCCACTACTGGTCTAATAACTGGCTCTTGGAGCACAATCCTGAGTTTGAAGCCCATCTTTTAAACGGGAGGACGCGTGCAAAGCTCTGGTTTCACAACAGATTTCATCCTAATCGCAGAGCTACTCTGTCACTACAAGCTCATAGAAGAGGGAAGGCTAGGGATGCTTACTGGAACAAGACAAGTTTTTAAGGGAAAAAAGATAAAACACTTGTGACTCAACCTACTTACAAAGTTTGCTGTTCCTAAAAAACTATGAGAAGGCCAAGGATGGAAGCACAGAGGCACTGCTCTTTCCCTTCCTTTTCCTTGGCCCATGTCCAAATACTTAGGGTGCAACAGGAAACCTCTTAAGTGAGGGCACTAGGGTGGGAAAGAGAACAGTGCACTCCCCACCCTCCCTACACAGCTTCTACTGCTCTTAAGGTTTCCCACTATCCTTTCAACAAGTCTAAGAATGATTATACTCTTGTGTCATAATCCTTTTTTCTGCAATAGGAGAGGGAGCAGGGGAAAGAGTGGGTGATGGAAAAAAGTGTCTGTGCCCTCTGGCTAGCTGCACTTGGGGCTTAGCAAATAGCCCTTGCCTGGCCCCAACAGTCAGTAGCTACCCAGAATGTGGGAGGATAGATATATACTCATATAGTTCTATGTAATTACTGCTTCTAGTGCACATGTCAACAACTATATACAGGGATCTATAAATTAAATGCATTTGTGGCCACTGCAACTAGGTTGACGTACCTGAGCTCCACTACTTTTGGTGCCCTCCTCCTTCCGAGAGCTTCAGCTTATTTAAGAGCCCCTACAACTCCCTCTTTCCCCTGAGTCTTGTGGGGAAAACCCGAGTGACCCCGCACGTAGGATACACAAGCGTGAGCGGCGCAGAAGTGTTCCGGGCTGGGATCTCCCTACCCCTTCCCCCAACGCCCAACGCCCTACGGCTCAGGGCACCAGCGCTGCTGCACGGGCCTGGGAAGACCAAACTGCGAGTCCCGGACGAATCGCGGTCCCCTGGCTGAAGATCCAGCTGTAGGCCACTCGCCCCTACAAGCCCGCGATCGTCCTGGGAGGAGGGGCGTTCGCTCCCGTGAGGGTCACTCCAGCGGGCTCTCCGCCCCGTCCTGCTGCACAATCCAGCCTGCAGGCTTGGGGAGGATGGTTCCCCACCGCCCTGGTGCGGAGGGGTTCAGCGGCTCCCGGGCGCCGCCGCCGCTTCCTCCTCGTCCTCCTCCGGCCCCCGTGGCCGCTCCAGCGGCCCGGCCAAGAGGCTGTCGGCAGAGGGCTCAGGAGGCGTGGGCCGTGCCGCCTGCAGCGGGGGCGCGTCGCGCGGTGCCTCACGGCTGGACGATCCCGTGGTGTTTGGCCCCACTGCCGCCGCCGCCACCGAAGTCCCAGACGGGCCGGTGGTGTTGGAGCCGCCTGGGGGCGGGCCAACGGCTCCCCCCGAGGTCCCGGCACCCACCGGCTGCCAGATGAGGCTGTAGTAGACGGCGAGCACGATGGCGGCCAGAGACACAGAGAGCACGTAGGCGAACACGGTGGCGAGCCGGACCCACTTCTTGTTGGTCTTGGCCGCCATCTTCGCCTTCTTGTCCCCGGTGTAGGTGGCCGGCTTGCCCCGCTCGGCCGGGGCCGCGTCGCGCTCCTTCATGGGGGGGCCCCGGCCTTTGCCCCGGTGCTCCACGGCCCCGGCTGGAGGGGGCCTGGCGGCCTGCGAGGACTAGACAAGGGGCGGCCGGGCGCCCTCGGTTCCTGGCTGCTCCACGCTCCGCCGCCACTCCTCACGACGCCCGCCCGCAGCCCGCCACCGTGTCGCTGCAGCCGCCACCGGGGCCTGGACCAGTCACCGCCGCCAGCGCCGCCGCCGCCGCCGGCCCGTCAGCTGCTTCCCCGCCGCCGCCACAGCCACAGCCGCCACAGCCGCCCGGCTCCGCGTCCCCATCCGCCGCCGCCGCCTGCCCGGCCGCCGGCCGCTCGGTCTCCAGTGGCCGCGCGGACAGCGCGCTCCGCTCCAGCCGGGCTCCCCCGCCTCGCGCGCGGGCAACAGGGGGCGGGGGAGAGCGCTGCTGGGGGCTGCCTCTTAAAAGGGCGACGCCGGGGTCCGGAAGTGCCGCGCGGGGAGGCGGGCTTCTGCAGGGCGCCGCAAGCCCCGCCGGGGCGCCCGGGTACGAGGGAGTTAAAGGAGGCTGGTTCTTAAAAGGGCAACGTCGCCGCAGCCCCGCGCGGGCTGGCGCGGTGAGGTGGGAGCCCGGGCGCTTCTTTAAAAGGGGAACGGCCTCGTTTGGGGCGGAGTGCGGAACGGAAGAGGGCGGGGAGGGGCATTCGGAGTGCGGACCTGTCAACTCTGGCACCTCTCCATTCGGTCCTGTCCCAAGTGACAGATGGAATACCAGCAGCAACTTCGGCCCCCAGGCCTCGGTTTACCCCAGAGTGGGGGAGAGACCACTTGTGCTCTCGGCTCGCGCCCCGCTCCACGTACCCTCCGTACCGTCTGTGCGGGTCATCCAGATCTCTTTATACCTAGCCAGTCTAGCCCACGTCCGGCGTACGCAGACAGGGACCAGTGGTTCACACTGTGGTCATAGTGGGCTCCGTCCCTTCCCCACCGGCCCCATCCCCTTCCCCGTCCCGCCGGTGGTTCAGAGCTTCGCTGAAATCTATCCGATCCCTTGTCCTCTTAGAGCCCGGAGTCAGGATGTCCAGACCTTTCAAAGCTTCAGAGACAGTACCACGTGCTAAGCTGGCTTTCCAGCCTCGCCTCCCACGTTAGTGCCAGCTTACAACAGGTCTCAGGTCCCTCTTTGGGGGGCTTCCGAATCCCAGGTCAAGGGGCTGCCCTGAACCCATAGAGGGGCTATCAGAGATTTCCCCCTCTCTGATCATCTCTGGGCCTTAGAGTCTGGGCGTTTGTTCCATCACCCCCTTCCCATGTGAGGTTTGTCCTCCTTCAGGTCGATTCTGACACCCTCTCTAAGCTTAGACTCACATCAGCCGCTTTCCCTTGTGCCTTTCCCCCTCCTTCCACCCTCCTCTCTCCTGCCTTCTCTTCTTCCGATTCCCTCTCTACAAGGCTTTCTAGAATTTCTGGCTCCCTTCTCTTTGAATTCTACTTCCTGTGTTCCCAGAACTGGATATGTGGACCACCTGGGTGCCTCAACTGGCTGTGGGAGACTGTGTCTGTGTGAATGTGTGTGAGGAGAGGACTGTGGTCATGATGGGATTCTGTGGGTGAACAGCCCCCCACCCAGTCTTGCCCCTGTAGATGTGAGCCTGACTCCTTACTTCTATTCTGTGGGGCAGGACCCTCTTGCCTTTCCCACTTCCCCTCATCCTCCACAGGAACCTTTGGTATCCAGACACAGTGTCCCTTTATGAGGAAGCCCCTTCCTGACACTGCTGCCCTGCCCCCAAATAAGGGTATGCAGAGGGAGAGAAATCAGAGAATCAAGGCAGGGTGGGGACAGAAAGGGCCCAAAAGGTGATCTTTTGCACATACCTGCCGACTCTAGAACCTCCTACACAACACCCCTACAGAGCACTCTTCAGCCTCAGCTAAAAGACCCTCCATGATGGTGGTGGACCTTGTCCACTCCCTAAGGCATCCTTGTCAGGCTTTGGAAAGTTCTGACCAATTACACACAGAAGTCAGGTGGCTACCAGAGCTGAGTGTGCTGATGGCTGACAGAGCTAAAGGCCTATAATCCGAGCCCTCACTCTCATTCCTGAGGCCCAGGTGTGAGTCTGCCACAGCAGTGGCCAACTGTATCCTGTTTTCAGGAGCAGCCTGTCTTTTTACTTTCTGAGAAATTTCAAGAACACTGCAAGTTTGGAGTGTGTATTGTGTTCTGTGGACTGATGGGGAAAATACAACCACTCCTTCCCCAGCCGGCTCCCAGCTTGTCTAGCAGGGCGGCCTGTTAAGTTAAAATCCCTGAGTTGTCTCTGGGTGTTCGCCTCTCTTCTCTGCTCCGCTCTCTGGCTTTCCTGGCAGGACCGTTCATACCAACTACAGCAAGGTGAATTATTCTGAAACATTCCAGGGAAAGTCAACCCAAAGCCTCCTTCTGTCCTCTTTCTTGAATTCTGTTGCAAATTAAACTTCTTTCTTCTTGCTTGGTTCTCAGGGAGCAGAAAACAGCATGTCACTCTCTTCTAAGGAATAAATATACTTGAAGCACTAATTCAATTCCTCTCACTGTATTTTTCTCCAAACTAAACAGTGCCAAATTCTTTAACCTATCATCAATAAGCCCTATTTATTATCTGGATTTACATAGTGTCTTTTACCCTACGAACTCAAATTGCTTTCAGATATAATTGAGGTTGATCTCCCTGGTGCCTGAGCCATTAAGAAACCATTAGTGTATTCCTGCTGTAGGCAACTAAATGGCCCCCTAGTGGCCTGATAGTGAATGTGCTTGTCTAAGTGTGTCACCAGGGGTAGGCACAGCGAGGGAAATCTGAGAATCAAGGTAGGGTGGGGAAAGGAAGGGCCCCAAAGGTCTAACCTTTTGTACATACCTATGGACCCTAGAACCTCTCACACAACACCCCTATGGAGCACTCTTCAGCCTCAGCTAAAAGACCCTCTATGATGGTGGTGGACCTCGTCTGCCCCCTAAGGCAGCCTTGTCAGGCTTTGGAAAGTTCTGACCAATTACAACATCAGTGACATCCACGCTCTTACTATGTGCTAGGCTGCATACCAAGCATTTACATTTCTTATCTCATTGATCTCAGAATAGCCTATCAGTTACTCTGAAAGGGCTGGTGACTCATTCTGACCTGAATGGACATATATTCTGGGTATATATTTCTCTCTCTTGCCAAAGGCCTCAACCAGCACCACTCCCTAAAGGCTGAAAGAGTGTTTGATCCACTGACTTGGGATCTCACGTAATGTTGCATCAGATCAAGAGTCCCACTTTATAGCAAAAGTGTGGTTGTGGAATCTTCTGGGCATATCACATACTTTGCTGCCCACTGGTGAATAGAGTTGACTGAGTAAAAGAACAGTCTTTCAAAGGGGCAGCTGATGCCCCATTTTAGAGATGGTGGGACACGGTGCTCCAGCATCGAGTAGACACCTACCCAGTAGCTGTCATATGGCACTGTGGTCCAACAGCTGAAATACAGTGGTCCGGGGAGGGGTGGAAGGAGGGAGGAACTAATTTACTACTGACCCTTGGCGGGGGGCTTGGACTGTGTGGTTCTTATTCCGACAGTTCCAAGCTCTCTGAGTTTAGAGGATCTAGGGCCTAGAGGTGGAACACTTCCAGCAGGGGACAGAACAAGAATTCCACAAAGGTTCCATGTGGCTGCTTTCATCCTTCAGACTCTGTGCCAAGACACCAGCAGGCAAAGAAGGGAGTCAATTCCTGGCAAAGGTACTTGACCCTGATGCTTTAGGAGAGATAAGGCTGCTGCTACATAGTGAGGTCAGGGAAGAATATGTTTGGCACTCAGGGGATGCACCAGGCTATCGCTTGGTACTCCCTTGCCAATTTTAATAGTAAGTGGACAAATTCAGAAGCTCGGTTTGAGAAGGGCGTGGTGATTAGGGGCTCAGACCCCTCAGGAATGCCACCAGGTAAGCCATGTAGACCAGCAGAGGTACAAACTGAAGGTACATAGAATCTAGAATGGGTAGTGTGGTGGGGACAGTGCTGACTATCAGTTGTGACACCAAGACAAGCTGCAGTAGTGGGGAGTCAGGACTGAGCAGAGGAATGAATTGATCAGTGATGCAGGCACGACAAAGGACGTCTCCACAGGGAGCTCTGGGGTTGGGATGACCTTCCAGACCTGGCCCCCGACTGAGGCAAGAAGGCTGAACCTTTGAATCCTCACGCTGACCAGGCAGATTATCCCTAAGAAGGGCTCGTGAAGTCGGGCGAGGCAACTGCTTTTGGAAGTGCCCAGGGAGAGGTTCAGTTATGAGCTATTCACTCCTGGCAACGTGGGGATTAAGTTTCTTGGCCCCAACGGCAGGATCTGGGTGGTGCACCATAGCAACCACGGCAGCACCCCCTTCACATGGCTCAGACCTGCATGCTTGTGTGGAAATAGCTCATCCAGAATTCTGGCAACCATTTTCTCTGGGAAACTTACAGGAAGGTAAGTAGGGGGAACTATAGCTCCCTCTTCATGAGCCCTTCCTAGGGGTAATCTGCCCAGTCAGCGTGAGGATCCAAAGATTCAGCCCTCTTGCCTCAGTCGGGGCCAGGTCTGGAGGGCCCAGAGCTCCCCGTGGAGACATCCTTTGTGGTGACCTCATCACTGATCAAGGTATTCCTCGGCTCATTCCTGCCTGCTTCACTCCCTCAGATGCCATATTGTTTCTGAGAGCACCTCCCAATAAACTTTCTGCAAGCAAATCTCCTCCCTGTAATGTTGTCATGGGAAACCTGATCTAAGACAGTCACTTAATTCACCTAAGATTCTAACCTTGGGGACCCAGGAGAACAAATCTCGTCCATCTGAAAGTAGACCTCCTGGCTGCCTCTGTCTTCTAAGCCATGATTCCCTCCACGAGGCCTCACAGAGTGTTGCGTGTGTCCTGCATCCCGGCTGTCCCCCACCAAACAGCCTCCAGCTACGTAAAGCAACCGAACTGCAGTCTCTGAGTACATCATGCCAGGAGGGAGAATGTGACTGAGTCTTCCTTGGTTCTAGAGCCCTAGCCACACACTAGAACCAAGGGTGAAACCCTTTAGAAACTCAAACTCCTCACCTTCCTTCCCCGCTCCCCACTCACCCACCCTGATTCAGAGGGTCGGGTGCAATCAGGAATACACAGTGTTACCAGAGCTTCCGGGCAATTCTGATCGATACCACGATGGAGAGTCACGGGGCTCAGTACCCACTTCAGTTCAGGAGCCTAAGAGGCTGCCCGAGTTTCTGGCAGCCTTTCCGTTTGACTCATAGGGAGCTGGCTGTCAGCAAGAACCCTCAGTTTTCTTCACACTCGCTTCTGCTAAGCCGCCACCTCCCCGCCCTGTCCTTGTACACTTGGTGCCTTGGAGCCAAGCCCAGACCTCTGGGTTAGGCCCTGTTCATTTCACCTTTGAGGTTCAGCCTGTTACCGCAGCAGGTCAGGGTGTTTTCGGATCCCGTGTATCTCCCAGCATGTCCCCTGTTCTCATGGACTTCCTGCTGTTCACAACGTTGAGGGGTTTGATCACTGTGGCTCTGCCCAGGTCCTGATAAAAAGGTGGATAAGGACAGAAATAAGGACAGAAGCAATCAATCTTTCTGAAGGCTGTCCTCACGAGCAATGCACTATGCCCGCCTGGCAAAGGACAGCATCTAACCTATTTTCATCCCGCTTAGGAAAATGGGTCCATTTCACAGATAAACAAAGGCAGAGAAGATAATAAGTAATGCGTCTAAGAATACCCTGCTGGGGCAGGGACCAATCCTTTCCTGCCAGCTACAGCTCTTCTCTCAGGGTTGGCCCTTCTGATTGGAAAGAGAGAGATTTTTAGAGCTGGAAGGGATCTTAGAAATGATCAAAAGCTTAACAGTTTTGAGAGCTCAGGTGACTTGCCAAGATCACACAGCACACCTTTCCTCTGTTTCGGACAAAAATCTGGGTTTGCTGAGAATGATCCAATGTTCGGGCAGCTACATCTCCAGGTAAGTTTGTTCCAAAATGACACTTCAAAGGGAAGTGTATGCGGGACTGATTCTTTTCCACTTCTAAATCCCAGACGGTTCCTTCTGTGATTCTAGAAGGACTTGGTTTGGGAGGACAGGCAACATCTTCCTCTTGGGCTTCTACCAAGAGCTTCTGTTTGCCTCTCCTCTCCTGCCTAAGGGATTAGAACTTCAGCACCTGCTGCCCAGAGTGTCCCTTCATTCACACTCAGCTCTGACTGCGCAGAGGGTGGCCAGATCGAGGGCCACAGCTGGACATACAGACAGGCGATGGACGATGGACGGCTCCTGGTCCTCACCCCCAGCCTGCCTCATCGGCTGTGGGGGCCGTGGTGGCACAAAGGTGGTGGGAGGTTGGCACTCGACTTCACAGGTCCTGGCCGCTTGGAGGACAGCCTGCCTCAAGCCCACAAGCAGGAGCAGTCCTGACTCAGTCTGCCCTGGGAAGGTGGATCCAGCCCTCAAATTCACACACACTGCTGGGGATAATATCCAAAGAACAAGTCAGTGAAGAATATATACTGAAGAAGAAGTAATAAGAAATTGCATTTCTCCTGTCAGTGTCTGTTAAAATAACATCACAAGTGGTCGGGCTCAGAGAGTAGTGAGTGTGGCTCCATGTGTCAGGCTGGGAAACAGACCCCAGATGGAACAACACGGGCCCCTGAACCCCGCTGCTTCACCAGGTGAGTCATGGCATCATGTAAGAAACCCTTCTAACTGGACTCTCTTACTGCCTGGTAACTGGGTCGCCTGAAGATATGAGTCTAGCTTCCACCACTGGACTTCTCTGGTAAACAGGTTGGGAAACTAAAGCATGAGGGCCCCACACAAAGCTGCCCGGTGAGCGAGTGAACCTGGGACCTGCCCCTGGGGCTTCAGGCCGCCAGCATCTCCCGAGGAGGCAGCAGCGTGTTGACTGTGAGTTCTCAGAGATTTGTGTGGCCCAAAGCTCACACACGCCAATCTCTCCGAGGTATGCGTCTCCAGGGATCACAGCTGACACAGGCCCTCCAGCGACTTCCCTGAAGATCTGCTTTCCGTTGATCCCAGCCTTTCCGCAGGAGGCACACGCTTTCTACTGGAAGTGAGCCCAGTAGGGGGCATCCTCACCCTTCCACCTTCTGCCCTGCGGGAGGGGGCGGGGTGAGGAGAGATTGGCAGGCTGCCGCCCCGCCCCCCTCCCCGCTCCGCTCCCCAACCCCGCGCTCAGCTGAGGAGCGCATTTCCCAAACCGGGTATTCGCGTGACCGCCTGATTTTCTCCACGTCCATGCTACTGTTATTTTATACAGTATTTTTCTTTGTCGATACACGTTTTTTAAAACCCCCAATGTGTTTTTAAAAGAAAAAAAAGGCTTATTTGATGAAGGTTTTCCAAACTTCCCTCAATGTGTGCATTTCATGCATTCTGAGGGCTACTTCGCAGGACACGGGCAGGAAAAGGCAGGCCCCGTGGAGGCTGCCGTTGGGGGTCTCACAAACTGGTCCAGGCGGTGCCATCATCGGGTAAAGACGGGCCAGGGCTTGTTTTGTGGATTCACAGCCTCAGCCTGCAGAGCCGGAGAATGGGAGGATCAGAGTGAAGAATCCTGAACTCCCTGCCTCCCTGCGGCACCCCCAATGCTGCGAAAGGAGAGGAGCCTGCCAGTCCCTTTCCTTCCCCAGGGTGAGGAAGACAGAGGGAATTGTCTTTCCAGGCCCATAGTGGAGGGACAGCTGAGACTAGAGGGCAGATAGGAGGGAGGGACGCGGGTGCAGGACCAGGGGTGGCTGCAGGTGACAGGTGCAGGGGCTTTGGGAAGGATCAGGGATTTCCCTTGCAAAATCCATTCAAACAGACTGAGGGAATCTGATCCCAGGGAGGGAATCAGACCTTCAGGGACACCAGAAGGGCCCCCAGAGGGGCTCAGGGTTGGAGAGAAGGGGGAAGAGAAATGGGGGGAGGGCGGCAGGGCTTGGAGAGAGGGGAGAGGGGAGAGAGAGGATGAGCCCTGAGGGGAGAGGGCGAGGAAGCTGGGGGATTCCCAAGCTGCTTCCACGGACTCAGTCAGGCCTTGCTCCAGGCTCCACCCCAAGAGTCCTGGGATTGCTCTCCTGGAGGTTACTTTTGTGCTCAGAGACCTCTTAGCTCCAGCCCCACCGGCCCCCATCCTCCTGCTCCAGCCCCGACAGGCCAGCAGAGGCAGTTCTAGGGCCTGAGTGAGGGTTTCCTCGTTGTCAGGGGCTGGTGCAAAGACTCAGGTCCTGAGAAGGGAAGGAAGTCCTGGGTAGAGCTCCCCTGCTCCCCCAGTTGAATTAACGAGGGTGATAATCAGATCAGATTAAGCAAGAGGAAGTGGGCTGGCTGAGCTGGGTCAGGACGGAGCTCCCCCGGGCCAGGGCAGTGTTGGGGCTATGCACCTTGAGGAAGTTCTCAGAGCTGAGGCCTCTCCAATAGCCTCCCGCCTCAGTGTTCTCTCCCTAGGCTCTGGGCACAGAGCAGAGGAGGGAGCTTGGCAGGAGAGCCCAATGAAGTCTGGTGGCCCAGGGTTGCTCAGCTAGCCTTGTGTTGAGGGTGGCTGGTCAGTGGAGGTTCCAGGTCTCAGCCAGGCCCAGGGGACCAAGAGGAGTCAGTCATATGTGGTGGGTATGATTGCCCCACTTGCACCTTATTTTCATGGGGAGGAAGCGTTGAGAAAGAGGAGCTGGGTGTTCAGCAAACTTTGCTTATTCAAAGCGCTTAATCCCAGCTGGGCCCTGCCTTACCCTCAACTCCCGTCTCCAGGGTGGTCCCAGCCTCCTCATGCTATGGGAGACAGCCCTAAACTCTGTGCCCCACCTCTGTGGAGGTCTCTTCCCTGATGACCTCCTTGCCTCCCCTCCTCAGTCCCTGCCTGGCAACAGTGTCCCCAGCTGGCCCCCTATATTTCCTTCTTCGGTCCCCCAGCCGCATCTGGGGAACAGGGATTACTCCTGGGACCCAGAGGCCCCTGCTCTAAGTGGACCCGCCTCGTGACCTGCCCCACAGTGGGGCGAACAGCACAGAGAAGGAAGCCCTGAGCAGGAAGTGCTGAGGCACAGTGTGAGGGCGGGGGCTTCGGGGAGGGGAGCCCGGCCTCCGCCTCCCTGGGCAGAAGCAGTAACCACAGCCCCCCGCTGCAGACAGGCGGGAGGAAGCTGATTTAAAAGGCAGCTGGGCCTCTGTCCGAAGCACTCAGCTCTGCACCCGGTCACGGCCACCCGTGGGCTGTAGGAGCACACAGACTTCCGGACCGGCTCAGGGCGGGTGCCATGTGAGCCCAGCTTGGCTCTCCTCCTGCCCACCCTCCTTCTGGCCGCCTCTGCCTGTCCAGTTTCGTTCGCCAAAGAAAAATACTTGGCACCATGTCTCTGCTCAACCCTGTCCTGCTGCCCCCCAAGGTGAAGGCTTATCTGAGCCAAGGGGAGCGCTTCATCAAATGGGACGATGTGAGTGGGGCAGGGGCTGTGGGCGCTGGGACACTGGGGCACAGGGCCGGGCTGCTAGGCCTTTGCCAGGGTGGGCGGGTTGGTTTATGTCTGTCAGGACTCAGGCGTCTGTGTGGCTTGGCCAGGCAGCCCACACAACTGCCTGAATAAACAACCCTGGGGGGTTGAGGGAGTGTACCCCAAACACCTGTCCCTGCGCTGCTGAAGCTAAAGCTCTGTGTCTGGATGTGAGAAACGGGGCGGGCAGTCTGGACGGAAGTTTCTCTGGGTCTTCGTCTGTCTCCGCCCCAGCCCCCCACCCCAGAAGAGCACGTTTTGCTGCACTTGGCCCCAGCCTCAGTGGGAGGAAAGAGTGCCCTGGAGCTGAGGCAGGGCCAGAAGCAGAGGTGAACTAGTCCTCTACTTCCCATGCAGACACCCCAGTCTTGCCCCATTAGGATGCCTAGACTGAAATTGTTCCAGCCTCCCCTCCTGGTCCGGGCCCTGTCCTAGTCCCGAGGAAGCCCCGCTCTCCCCTGAGCTGCAGCGGGGCAGCCACAAAAGGGCCCTGGACCCCAAGTGAGAACTGGAGGCTTCTGTTCTCAGGGGCCTGGGAGGGAGCAGACTGACTTCTGCTTCTGCTGGCTGCTCTCAGCCAGGCTCCCGAATGCCTGCCTGTCTGCAGGGGAAGGGGGAAGGCACTGCTTTGCCCTGCACAGTGCACTGTGTCTGCTCATTCCCAAACTGGGACCTGCTTCCCAGCCTCTGGCCCCACGCCCCCCAGACACTGGGGCCAGGGATTCTCTTGGGTAGGTGAGGAGATCAGTATGGGGACCCTTCTTCAGGGCGGGAGGCTGCTGGGCTGGCCCTGTGGGAGAGTTAGAGGGGCTGGCCCCAGGAAGGGACCAGGAAGGCTGGGGGTGGAGGAGAGGGCCCTAAGGCTGGCTAGTCCCCTTCACAGGGGGGATGAGAAGGCCCTGGGTCTGTGAGTTAAGGCAGCCTGGGGCTCTCGGCTTTCAGTTTCAGCTTTTGGGACTGGGCGAGGCTGAGTAATCTGGTTGCCATGACTATGGGGAGGAGGCTGTAGCTAGTCTAGCTAGCTGCTTTCTGCTTCCCTAGCGGTGTGTGGTCGATGTGGCATGGTGGTGGCATGTCCCAGGAGCCTGTGGAATGAGGGAAGTGGCTCAAAGTGAAAAATGAAGTGGCCTCTCTCAGTTCCTCTGGGAAGTATGTGTAACCTGACTGGACAGAGGGTCACTAGGTGTGGGGACATGCTTTGTGGCCTTCTCTGAAAGCCAGCACCTGGGAACCTGGCTGCCCCACTCCCCTCCCTGAGGCAGGGCACTGCATTGTCCTCCACCCTGACTTCCACGGGCAGGAGCCTCCCAAGCCTGTTCCCGGGGCACGTGGAGCCGGGAGCTGGGGCTCTGCTCTGAGACTGCATCCGCCCCACTCAGCTGGCAGGGACTTGGGTGTGTCGTGCCGTGTTGAACAAGCAGAGTGCACAGTACATAATCAACTCCCTACTTGATTTAGTCTCCCATGCCCCTTTACAATGTATCTGGTGGGAGAAGTTCTCCTCCCGCCCATGGAAGGGAACACAGACAATCCATTTGCTCTCATGGGAATCCCATGGTCGAGGTTCCTCACAAAGCCCAATCTTATGTCAGAAACCAATTATAATCTGAAAATCCAACCTTCATTTAGAATGGTATCATCTGCCCTCCTCTGTCTAGGAATGGTTTTAGGTGGGCTGCAGTCCCCCTGGTGGGACTCCCTGCCCCTCCCAGTCCCTCCGGGATGGGGTACAGGGAGGAAAGTGAGCAAGGGGCACTGAAGTGCTTAACTAAACAGACATCATCATCGACTGGCTCATGATCTCCGAGCCTGGCAGAAGGCTTAGGCTTTTTCTCTCTCTGGTGCATATTTTTGAAGATTCTCAGGAGACCCTCCCCGCCCTGAGCTGGGGATCTCTTGCTTAGGGTCCTGCTGCTACGTTCATTTCAGGAGGTCACTTGCAAGGACTTCTTCAGCCCCTCTGAATCCAGTTACAACTTTCAGCTTTCTGGAGCTTTGCATGCACTCTTTGCCCCTCTCTCCCAGAGGCCCGCTCTGGACCCCAGCAAACACACGTGTGTGTCTTGTCCCAACAGACTCGGGGGTCGGGCTCATCTAGCATGTTGGGGTCCTTCTGCCTCCAGGAGCCAGCTGATCTGTCACCAACTCAGTTTCCCCGGGCAGGAGTCAGACCCCAGTCTGCTGTGTCCCACATTGCCAGGGGCAACAAAAGCTCTCCGAGTGCAGTTGACACCCCTCACTAGGCTTAAGGTGAGGGGTCAGGCACCCTCTGCCCTCCCTCGAGGAGGGAAGGGAATGGCACTCACAGCACATCTTTCTCCACAATCAGCCCCGCACAGCGTGAGCTTTCTCCAGTCCCACAGCCAGCCCTGACCCGAGAGCTCTCCGAACTCTTTCCTCTGTGAGCTCTGCATTTGATTGGGTTTGGTGTGCAGGAACTACCACGTCTCGTTGGAAACTTCCACTTTAGAATCTTGTTATACATGCATTCAAATATCAGAATCGAAGGCAGGCGGTGTGCTCTGCGAGCTGCATGGGAATTTAGAGAGGAGTTCATTCATCATTCACTGGCTCCTTTAGCAAATCTGGGGCCACTGGACACATGGTCTAGGACAGGCTTGTTTCCAGGGAGTCCACAAGCCCCTGGGGATTTCCTGGATGGGCTTTTAGGTCTGAGAACAAGCCCCACCCACCGTATTTCAGAAAAGGGTTTTCAGAAGAGGTGAGGCTTGCGCTGGTCCTTAAGGGTGTTTCAGGCAGGCGAGGACTGGGTGCTTAGGCTCGGAGGTGAAAACGCACTTGGTGTCTGCGTGACAGCTGGATGGCCCGGGTGAAGGGGGCAGCTCACTCAAGGAAGGACTGGGCATGTGGGAAGCCAGCTTTTGGCTGGGCTTTGTAGGACTTTGGATGTAGGCACAGCAGTTGGGTTCTCAGCTCTTGCTGTGTTGAGCTATCCTGGAGGTAGTATGGGCCCTTAGGAGAGACATTCGACCCCTTCGGCGGAGCTGTGGCCCATAAAAACAGGGTGAAGTGGGGGCTAAGGTGCTGTCTGGAGTGTGGAGGGAGAACCTCGCTTTGGGGTTTAGATGGGAAACCATCCTCTCTTCCAGAAATGGCGCCTCCAATCCTCTGTCCCTCCCCTCCCCTGATCCAGAGCTTTTAAGGCTCCTGCCCTGACCGTAGCTCTGGGAACAAAGGGAAATGCCTGTAGATTCCTGGGGCAGCCACCTGCCGGGGAGCTGGGGAGCTCTGAAACCCTTGGTGCCCAAGGTCAGGGGAGCTTGGCCTGAAGGCTCAGAGCGGGGTGCTGACTCTCTCTCGGCAGGAAACAACCATCGCCTCCCCGGTCATCCTCCGCGTGGACCCCAAGGGCTATTATTTATACTGGACGTACCAGAGTAAGGTGAGGAAGCCCCTACCCACAGTGGCCCTGAGCACCTGCTAATCCGTGGAGTCAGAGCAGCCTCTTGGCGATGCAGAGCCGGAGGTGTGGATGCTGGAGGGCTGAGAGGGACCAGGGAAGGGCCTCAGCAACCAGACAGAAGGAAGGGAGGGGGAACCTGGGGAGAGTCCAGGATGGAGGAGGCAAGACTGCAGACTACAGGTCCCCAAGGAACTCAGAGTGGCCAGGGAAGGAATGGACAGAGAGGAGAGGAGGAGGGGAGGAGAGTCACCATGCATAGGGAGAAGCTGATCCCTGGGAAGGGAAGGCTGGGGTCCAGGTGGCCCCACACAGTCTTGGTGTCTTGAGAGGGCAGTTGGCAAGACATGAGGGGACATGGAAGCTCCCTCCTCACTGTTCTATGTCCATGCCCCTTCTTTGCTTCCACCCGTCCCCTTCCAGGAGATGGAGTTTCTGGATATCACCAGCATCCGGGACACCCGCTTTGGGAAGTTTGCCAAGATTCCCAAGGTAGGTGGGCCCGGTACAGCTCAGGCCCAGCGCGGCCCCTGCTCCACAGGGCTGGGGCAGGGGTCCCTGGGGAGAGAGGAAAGCTTCCTGGGCTGGGCGGCAGGACCTCCCCCTGAGCCGAGGAAGGAGTGGCGCTGCTCCTGGGTTTGCTGAGGCTCTGTTTGGCGCCATCTGCACAGATGTCTCAAGGCCGGCTCCTGCGCTAAATCACCCCGGGCTGTCTGGGAGGGGTCACTGGAAGCCTTCTCCACCTCCGGCTGGTTTGCCTGTTTTTGCTTAATGCTACTAGGCAGATTGGAGGAAGGGATTGGTGGAGCAGGTCTCCCCAAGACAAGGAGCTAAGAACATATCTTCAAATAAAAAGGGACAAACAAAATACACAGAACTCCCAGACCCCATGGCCTTGGTTAACCTCTTCCTGTGGGTTTCTCCCTCCCAGCCCAGCCCTGGTGGACACTCATTCGAGTGGCTGAAGGGGAGGGACGGGGGAGCCACTGTGGGGAGGGACGATGCTAACCATGTCACCACTGCTGCAGAGCCAGAAGCTCCGGGATGTCTTCAACATGGACTTCCCTGACAACAACTTCCTGCTAAAGACACTCACCGTGGTATCTGGCCCTGACATGGTGGACCTTACCTTCCACAACTTTGTCTCCTACAAGGAGAACGTGGGCAAGGTGCACAGGGGTCCCCTGGCCTGGGGCTCGGCACCTGGCATAGCACGGACTTCCTGAGAGACAGGGCTGGACCGAGGGGTGGTGTGGACACCTCTGAGGTCATGGGCCTGACTGCTGTGCTCTGGGGTCCTGCAGGACTGGGCTGAAGATGTCCTGGCCCTGGTCAAGCACCCGCTGACAGCCAACGCCCCCCGCACCACCTTCCTGGACAAGATGTAAGTGCCTGGCCTTAGAGCACAGGGCTGAGTGTGCCGGCCTCTGGGCCTGACGCACTGCTTTCTGCGCCCCCAGCTTGGTGAAGCTCAAGATGCAGCTCAACCCTGAAGGGAAGATTCCTGTGAAGAAGTGAGCCTGCCCTGCTCCCTCCCCACACTTCTGCCCAGCTCCCCAAAGCCTTCCCTCTCTCAGCTGACTCCTCTCTTTGCCCACATGCCTTTGTCTGCTCCTGTAGTTTTTTCCAGATGTTCCCTGCTGACCGAAAGCGGGTAGAAGCTGCCCTCAGTGCCTGCCACCTCGCCAAAGGCAAAGTGAGTGGTTCCCCCTCCCTGGCCCACCCGACTATTCTCCTTGTCACCTGAGCTGGCTCTAACCAGAGGTCAACTTGGCCAGGCCTGGTGGGGGCTGGAGAGGGAAAGAATAACAGCACAGTCCACAGTCTCCGCAAACAGCTCAAAAGCCACTTAACCCTAGAACCACTGGTTTATGATCCACAGAGACAGGACCAGGCAAGGGGGGTGGGGTGCCTGGGTTCTGAGCAGATTGGCTTCCTACCCCTGGATGGCAGTGGGGGACAGGGGCTGGTGTTCAGGGCAAGCAGCAGGTGTGGGCCCGTTTTCATTCCAGCCTTGGAATGCAAGTGGAAACGAATTCTGTTCAGCCTGGAGGAGTGAGGTAAGGTCAGCAAGGACAGGAGGCCATCTGCAGGGATCAGAAAGCTGCAGGAGGGGACTGGCTCTGCGGGGTGGAGGGAGAGGCTGGCATAATCAGGGGTGTGAGCTGCCAGGACACAGATTTTAGCTCAACACAGAACAGTGTTTTTTCCTTTCTTTTTAGTCAAATAATTAATTTTTAATTGCAAGTTGTGTGCAGGTGTATTATGTAACACACCCATGAGGTGTATTATGTAAATTACAAAAAGGAGCCCTCAGGGCAGATGTGGTCCTGAGCCCTGGCCGGGGGAGTGGATCTCAGCGCCCCTCCCTGTTGTGCCTTTGTGCAGAGCACCACCTGCGCCCCACTGAGTCTTTTTTCTTGGTAAGAATTTGAAACATTCTAATTAAACTAAGACCTCACTGATCACTTGTCCTCATGAACCCCAAGAGGAATACTTCCTCCACAGTCACAGCTTTATGGGGCTGGTGACCCCTGGGTGACATCAGGACGCAAGCGTTGGGTGGAGAAAGAATGGGAATGGACTCCTGCTGAGGGCCCTACAGCCTGCGTGGCAAACTGTGGTCTGTACGCATCCATCCCCCCTTTCTCCTGCCTCCCGAGCTCCCACCCTGGCTGAGTTCCTCTGACTTGTCAGCTCTGCTTGTGCCCCAGTAGGGGCCCCGGCCCATCTTTGCTTTGAAGCTGACTGGCCCAAGATCCAGTCGTAGGGAGATCTGCTCTAGCTCTCCTGCTCCAAAGGAAGACTCCAGTGTGACCCCGGAGGACATTCCATGGCTGTTTCTGGGATGGAATCCTGGAATGCCACTAATCTGCTTTCTGTTTCTGTTTCCACGGATTTGCCTATTCTGGACATTTCGCGTAAACGAACCACACAATGTGTGGTCTTTGACATCAGGCTTTGTTATTTAGCATTCCAAGGTTCATCCACGCTGTAGCGTGGATCAATACTTCATTCCTTTTTACGGCTGAAACATAGTCAATCGTACAGATATATCACATTTTGCTTATTTATGCATCAGGTGATGACCATTTGGGTAGTTTCCACTTTCTGGTTAGTATGAATAATGTTGTTATGAACATTCATGTACACTGTTTTGTCTGGACTTATGTTTGCAGTTCTCCTGGGTATATCCCTAGTAGTGGAATTAATGAATTATAAGGTAACTTTTTTTTTTTTTTAGATTTGATTTATTTATGTTTACAGGGAGGGGGAAGGGAAGGAGAAAGAGAGAAAAATCAATATGTGGTTGTCTCTCATGCGCCCCCTACTGGGGACCTGGCCCACAACCCAGGTGTGTGCCCTGACTGGGAATTGGACCAGCAGCAACCCTTTGGCTCACGCAGGCCTGTGCTCAATCCACTGAGCCACACCAGTCAGGGCGGTGATTTTCTATTTAATATTTTGAGGAACTGCCAAACTGTTTTCCAAAGTGACTACACCATTTTACAGTCCCACCAGTATTGTATGAGGGTTCCAATTTCTCCACATCCTCACCAATACCTGTTATTGTCTGTTGTCTTCTTTTCTTTAATTTTAGTCATCCTAGAAGGAGTGAAGGGATAGCTCGCAGAGATTTTGATTTGCATTTCCCTAACGACTAATCCTACTGAGCATCTTTCCATTTGCTTATTGGTTGTTTGAATATTTTCTTTGGAGAATTATCTATTCAAATCCACTGCTCATCTTGCGATTAAGTTATTTGGTTTTTACTGATGAACTATCCCTTCTTGGATATCTGATTTGCAAATACAGGGTGAGGCAAAAGTAGGTTAACAGTTGGCCTTATGGAAAATAATACAATAATTAATAAGTAATCATACAAGAATAAACTCTGTCTTGCACACTGAACTATAAACCTAATCTTGTCCTACCCTGTATTTCCTCCCATTCTACAGATTGTCTTTTCACCTTTTTGATGGTGTCCTTCAAAGCACAAAAGTTTTAAATTTGATGAAGTACGATTTATCTTCTTTTGTTATTGTTCTTGTGGGGTTTTTAAAAAAGATTTTATTTATTTATTTTTAGAGAGGGGAAGGGAAGGAAAGAAACATCAATGTGTGGTTGGCTCTCACACCCCACCCCCAGGGACCCGGCCTGCAACCCAGGCATGTGCCCTGACTAGGAATCGAACCAGCAATCCTCTGGCCCACAGGCCAGCACCCAATCCACTGAGCCACACCAGCCAGGGCTGTTCTTGTATCTTTTGGTGCCTCCAACTATAATTGCCGCCTTGTCTATTTCTCCCTTCATTCTGTCAGGTTTTACTTTGTGCACCTTAGGACTCTGTTTTTAGCTGTATTATTTATATTCAAATTGCTTCTTTTTAAAAATTTGTCCTCCACTTTAAAAAAAGCTAGCCCACTACTCTGGCAAGCAACACTACTTACTTCTGACCTTCTTTTCTCCTCATTCTGGTCATTCTTAGTTCCAATCCTGCTCCAACCAGGAGACTACCTACAGCGTCCAAGTTCAGGGACAAAGCAAACCAGCTAAGCACGCTCTCTGCTTGGCACCCAGGGCCTTGACAAGTGGGTGCTCAGCATGTCCGCAATGCTCCTCCGTCTGCCCTGATTCCTCCCTCTAACTGGCCCCCTTGTGCAGGCCTAGTTTGTGGTTCTTCGTGCTGAGAAGGTGGGGCAGGCGTGATCAGGTGACTTTCTATCCCTCCAGAATGACACCATTAATCCTGAGGACTTCCCAGAATCTGTCTACAAGAGTTTCCTCATGAACCTCTGCCCTCGGCCAGAAATAGATGAGATCTTCACTTCCTAGTGAGCTTCTTGGGCTTCGCTGAGTATGACAAAGGGGTGGTGGCTGAAATTCCCACTTGCTATGCTGAAGTTAGGAGGCTTTGCTGGACGAGGGGTGTGTCTGAGTTCCTCAGCCTAGATGTAGGCCAGTGCTCTTTCCTCTGGCCTGCAGCCACGCCAAGGCCAAACCCTACATGACCAAGGATCACTTGACCAAATTCATCAACCAGAAACAGAGGGACTCCCGCCTCAATTCCTTACTGTTCCCGCCCGCACGGCCGGACCAGGTGCAGGGCCTCATCGACAAGTATGAGCCCAGCGGCATCAACGTGCAGAGGGGTGAGGACCAATGGGAGCCCTCACCCGCGGTGGGCTTGTCCTGCTCTGAACTGGGCTGTGGCCCTGATAGTTATCCCCTGCCCCCCAGGCCAGCTGTCCCCGGAGGGCATGGTGTGGTTTCTCTGTGGGCCGGAGAACAGCGTGCTGGCCCAGGACAAGCTGCTGCTTCACCACGACATGACACAGCCACTCAACCATTACTTCATCAACTCCTCACACAACACCTACCTGACAGGTGGGCCTTAGCCACCGCACTGCTGGCTTCGCTTTTATGGGGGCTGCTCCTGTTCCCTGAATTCTTCACGGGGTTGCCATGGGCTGCCAACAGCACAACCCCGGCTGGAGCAGGGTTGGGGGCCAGTCCTTAAGTGACGTCCCTGCCCCTGCCCCTTGCCCTGGCTCAGCTGGCCAGTTCTCAGGCCTTTCCTCTGCTGAGATGTACCGCCAGGTACTGCTGGCTGGCTGCCGCTGTGTGGAGCTGGACTGCTGGAAGGGGAAGCCCCCTGACGAGGAGCCGATCATCACCCATGGCTTTACCATGACCACAGACATCTACTTCAAAGTAACGCTCGGAGCGTGGAGGCTGGTGGTGGAGACCCTGGTCCCCAAGCCCTCTGGGTGTGGGGGACATGAAGCAGGAGGGATGGCCGGGAGACAGTGGGGAGACTACAGGGGATCAGAGGAGACAGGGGGCCAACAGTGGCCCCCCAGTTCCACGAGAGTGTTTAAATGGGAGAGGGAGGGTGCCATGGGGGGGGTGAGCGTGGGGCATGGACCTCCTCTCCACCCATCCTCTCTCATTCAGGAAGCAATTGAAGCAATTGCAGAAAGTGCCTTTAAGACTTCCCCCTATCCTGTCATCCTGTCGTTTGAAAACCACGTGGACTCGTGAGTGTCCAGGCCTCCCTCTCTGCGCTGTTCCCACCTTCTGCTGGCACTGCCCTCCCCCAGCTATCCCGGCCTCCACCTGTGCCCCACACACAGTCTCGGGCCCCCAGGCCCTCCTGCCTGTGTCCCTGCCTCCCCGACCGCCGCCCGTACTCCTGACAACCCAGATCTGGGGCCCAGAAGGATGGCCCAGAGGAGGGCCGTGCTGCTGAGCCCCGCCCCACTCCGCTCCCCGCAGACCCCGCCAACAGGCCAAGATGGCCGAGTACTGCCGCACGATGTTTGGCGACATGCTGCTCACAGAGCCCCTGGAAAAGTTTCCGGTGGGTGGACTTCACTGTGGGGCCTCCGGGGCTGGGGGCTGGGGACCAGGGGCCCTGTCGGGGCCAGGTTAACCACATGTCAACCTGTGCTGGGGGTACGCTGGTGACAGAGATGCAGCCCCCACCCTCAGATGGCTTACTCTCTAGTGGGGAGACAGACAAGGAACCTGGCGTGACGACCAGTGGCTGCTATGGGAGCACGTGGGGAGTCCTGGTCTGGTCTTGGGGGTCAGGGAAGGCTTCCTGGGGAAAGTGGTGGCTAGGCGGAAACCTAAGGAGGTACTGGATTTATGTTGCTGAGAGTGGGGGAAAGGAGCTCTAGGCAGATAGAATGGGCGAGAGAGAACATCGCTGAGGAACGGGGGTCCACAGGGCGGGCAGCGGTGTAGCACATGAGGGGGAGTGATGAGAGGCGAGGCTGGAGAGGTAGGCAGGGGCGGATGGAGCCAGCTGGGATGGAGGGACTTAGGCTACACCCTGAAGAGGAGGAGATGGTGCCCACACCCTCTCCTCTCCCACAGCTGAAACCAGGCACCCCCCTGCCCAGCCCTGAGGATCTGCGTGGCAAGATCCTCATTAAGAACAAGAAGAACCAGTTTTCTGGCCCGGCATCCTCCAGCAAGGAGCCAGGTGGGGAAGCTGAGGGCAGCTGCCCACCTGATGCCCCTGTGGTTGAGGACACAGGTGAGTCAGCCTGGCAGAAATGGGGGTGGGCTGGGGTGGGGGCGAGGGAGCATCTGGAATGGGAGAGAGGGGCTGGGCCTGCAGGGGACGTGCTGGGGGGCCAGCCTGGGGTGGGGGCCCGCCCCGAGTGCTGACAGAGGTGTGTGTGGCAGTGTGGGCTGGTGCTGAAGCGGCCAAGCTGGAGGAGGAAGAGGAGGTGGAAGACGAAGAGGAGGAGGAGTCGGGAAACCTGGATGAAGAAGAGATAAAGAAGATGCAATCAGATGAGGTGTGTGAAGCCCTTGGGGAGGGATATGGGGCCAGGTCCCTGGGCTCTGTGCTGTCCTACCCCCCACCCTCCTCTCTCTTCCCTAGGGCACAGCGGGCCTGGAAGTGACAGCTTACGAGGAGATGTCCAGCCTAGTTAACTACATCCAGCCCACCAAGTTCATCTCCTTTGAGTTCTCTGCCCGTAAGTTAGCTCGGGGTGGTGGTCAGCGGAGGTTCGGCTAGATCCAGAAGGCCCCAGAAAGTGTGTCCTGACAGCAGGCAGCTTGATGGGCGGGGGTGAGAGGAAGGGGAGCCCTCCCCCTTCTCTGGACCAGGGGCCGTGTCTATAAACATCCATCAGAGGAGTCAGGCGAAGGACTTGTTGAAGTGGTAGTGGCTCCCATTTCTGAGCACAGTGTGTACTGAGGAATTTGGCACTGAGCAGAATGCTCTGGAGTATGTCGGTGACAGGCAAGCCATTTGTGACGGACCTCCTCAGTGGGGCTGGCCTGGGACTCCTGCAGCCTCCTGCAGGTTCTGTGGCTCCTAGTCCCAGAAACTCCAGCCTTAGGGTATGAGAACTTCTAGGAGGCAGTGGAAGGCAGAGGAACCAGCCGGTACACACCTGCCCTTGTACCTACCTGCCCTTTCTGTGCACACCGTGCTACTTATCTTCTCTGGACACGTGTGCGGTGCCTTCCTCTCCCCCTCCATTTGTGTCCCCAACACGATCACCTCTTTCTCTGTACACCTGCACACAGTGCATACACCTGTAACCTTTTCCCTCAGCCCTGAACCCACAGTCTGCACCCCCACCTGTGCTCACCTGTGGCATGTACCGCCCTTGGTGTGTGCCTCTCACCCTGCGCCACCCTTTGGGTTCAGACCCTGCACATCAGTGTGTTCCCAACTCCCCGAGCTCACCCTAGCGTGTTCCCCACACCCTCCTCGCCCCTCAGGGCAAGCACCCCTCCCCCTCTGGTGCTGCGATGCACACCTGGTCCTGGTGCACACCCACCACTCACACCCTATACCCCCAGCACACACGTTACCCATAGCAGACCTGCACACCCCTGCCACTGGGTTCGCCTGCCCCCCTGATCCCCCGAGCCTCTATAGGAGTGCCGGGTTAGACTCGCTTGTCTCTGTGCTGGACACAGCTGCACCAAAGGGGAGGGTGGGTCCGAGGGACAACCTCAGCGTGACACGGACTCCCCTCCTTTTTGTCCCCCACGCAGAGAAGAACCGAAGTTATGTCATCTCCTCCTTCACGGAGCTCAAGGCTTATGACCTGCTCTCCAAGGCCGCAGTGCAATTTGTGGAGTATCCTTGAGGCCTCAGTAGCCAGAGGCTCTGGTTGGGGTGGAGGGGTGGGGACAGGGCTCGAAGGGGGGCTGCTGGGCACTCCTGACGCAGCCTCAGGGGGCTCCTATACTCTGGGGCAGCTACAACAAGCGCCAGATGAGCCGCATCTACCCCAAGGGCACCCGCATGGACTCTTCCAACTACCTGCCCCAGATGTTCTGGAATGCTGGCTGCCAGATGGTCGCCCTCAACTTCCAGACGATGGGTGAGGCACTCCCAGGCCCTTGAGAACCTTCCCTGGGCCCTCCCACATTTACCCCACTCCCGGGGGTGGTCTTTAGGACAGACAGGGGGTCCAGACGTCTGTGCAGACTCTGGGAGCACGTGCAGGGGTGTGGCTGCTTCGGGATAGACATGCATCAGCCCACGCCTGCAGGACACACGTTTGCGGGCGTGTATGTGAGGGTGCCAGGGCGCCGGCATGGGTTCTGGCCGCTCTCTGAGCGGGTCTGTGGGAGCCCCTGCTTCATTGGCCTCAGCCCCCGCTGTGAGCCTGAGCTCTGGTCGAGGCTTTGGTCCTGCCAACTCCAGGCTGTGGGCCCTTCCTGAGAGAAGAGACACCCTAAGAAACCAGGCTGAGACACGAGAAACCCTCATGCCCATGGTCTGTTCAACCACCCCATTCACAAAACAGGAGAAAGGCGGGAATGGGGACACGGGGACCGGATTGGAGACACAGGGCAGAGCCCTCCTCACCATGTGCTCTCGCCCCCCAGACCTGCCCATGCAGCAGAACATGGCACTGTTTGAGTTCAACGGGCAGACGGGCTACCTCCTCAAGCACGAGTTCATGCGTCGGCCAGACAAGCAGTTCAACCCGTTCTCAGTGGACCGCATCGACGTGGTGGTAGCCACCACTCTTTCCATCAAGGCAAGGCCCTGAGATGGATGAGCGGCGGCCAGGGGGATTGGGGTCTTGAGGAGAAAGACACAGGAGCCCCACTCCTCTACTCCCAACCCCCTCCCCTGATTATCTTGAAAACTTCAGCCCCAGCCAGTTCCAGCAGTAGCAAGTTGCCTTGGAAACTGCCTCCTCCTCCGCCCTTGAAGCTGCCTCTTGGTCCCCATGGAAACCAAGGGGAAGGGCTGAGGCTGGGGTGGGGGAAGGGGGAAGAGTGGGCAGAAAGGGGCAGCAGGGGCCCCAGGCCCTGGAAGAGAGCCCTGTTCCTTCTCTGCTCAGGATGGGGGGCCCCCACCTCTTCCCAGAATGCTGGAAGCACCCCAGTCACCAGAGCTTAGCTGCGGTCCTTGGGCCACACAGCCACTACTCAGTGGCCCGAGCTGAGTGGGGCTCTTCACAGTACCCAAGGGTGGACGCTTCAGCTAGAGAAGCCATCAGCCCCAGGTGCTGGGGGACGGCCTGGCTTGGGGGCCTGACACTGGCCTCTCACGGCCCCCACCTCCAGGTCATCTCCGGGCAGTTCCTGTCAGAGCGCAGTGTGCGCACCTATGTGGAGGTGGAGCTGTTCGGCCTTCCTGGCGACCCCAAGAGGCGCTATCGCACCAAGCTGTCGCCCACTGCCAACTCTATCAACCCTGTCTGGGACGAGGAGCCCTTTGTCTTCGAGAAGGTGGGAGGCGAGGGCTGGGCAGGGGCTGCAGGCTGGGCAGGATGAGGGCTGTCCCCGGTTCTTGGCCTCTACTCATAGAAGAGAGGAACTAAATGAAAGGAGTCCCTGACCCTGCTCCTGTCCCCACCCCTCCCTTTGTGCCCACCTGAAATTCAGGAGTCCAGGAGCAAATTTACAGGAATGTACTTGGTGGGCAGGTTGTGTGTGCGCACACGTGTGCACGTGCATAGGAGTGTTCATGTTAGGGTCAGAGGCAGATGTGAGCTCCCAGACCAGGGTGCAAGGTCCCACGGGGTCACTGGGGGTCTTATTCCCCCACTGGGCACTTGTTGACGAAGCTGTCACAGGCCATCTGCACCAGGGTCTCTGGAGCCCTGGGCTGCAGCCCTTCTCCCCTGGGTGGACCAGCCGTGGCATGAGCTGTGAGGATGCCTGTGTGTGGGGTCTAGAGCGTGCCCTCCATCCTCACCAAATCTGGTCACACCTGCCAGGTTCTCACACTGACCCTAGACTTCGGAAACTAGGGAGGGGCCCAGCCTGGCCCGCCCTCGCTCCACACCAGCTTGTCCTGTTCCGAACTCTCCCCAGATCTTGGTGCCTGAGCTGGCCTCCCTCAGGGTGGCCGTGCTGGAGGAAGGCAACAAGTTTCTTGGACACCGCATCATCCCCATCAATGCCCTCAATTCTGGTAAGCAGGGGTTGTTCCTTGCAGCTCCCAGCAGGTCTGAGACCAAAGCCAGCACCAGGAGCCTGTCCAGTGGGTGGGCCAGCTTCAGGGAGGTGGTCCTGAGATGTCACCTGACTTTCTTATGTCATCAGCCTTAAGGAATGGAGTGGGGGTAGTGCTTCTCCAGGAAACTGACAGAGGAGGGGACTCTGGCCACCTAACAGAATGTCTGTAATTTTCTGGAACTACGGGGGCAATTTCCCAAGTAGCTGATACTTATTGGGCACATAAAATGCTTTAAGAGCTTGTAACATATTCTCACTGAACCCTAACAGTTAACCACACGAGGCAGACTGCTACCCCCATTTCGCAGGGGAGGAAAGCCTGAGGTCACAGTGACCTGCCCGAGGACACGCAGCCAGGAAGGCACAGGACCAGACTCAGACCCTGGCCTCTCTGACTCTAAGACCAAAAGCCTTGCGTGCTGGGCTGCCGGCATGCAGTGGGGGCGGCAAGGGGCTCTGCTCACTGCCCGCCCTGCCGTGCCCCATAGGGTACCACCATCTGTGCCTGCACAGCGAGAGCAACATGCCCCTCACCATGCCAGCGCTCTTTGTCTTCCTGGAGATGAAGGACTACGTACCTGACACCTGGGCAGGTTAGGAGGCCCAAAGGGTGCTGGGTATCAGGGCTGTCCATTTCCTCTCCCCTTCCTCAAGTCAGCCTCTGGAGTGGGCCAGGACAGGGGATCCTAGGGCTGGTGAGCGGTGGGGAGGCTCCCAGGTCCTTTCCACACCAGGCCCGTGATGCTCCTGTGCACCCAGATCTCACCGTGGCCCTCGCCAACCCCATCAAGTTCTTCAGTGCCCATGACAAGAAGTCCGTGAAGCTCAAGGAAGCCATGGGAGGTCTGTCTGAGGTCTGTGTTGCTGGGTCTGTCACCAGGGGCCCCAGGAGCTTTCCCTCTCTGTGGGAAGGTGAGGGAGGGGCAGAGTCCGGGGCTCAGGGAGAGAGGGCTGTTGGAGCCCTCTTCCTAACCTACTGCTCTTCCTGCACAGAAGCCCTTCTCTCTCGGGAGTCCAGTTGCCAACCAGGCCAACGGAGCAACTGCCTCAACCAGCAATGGGTCAGCAGGTGCGCACTGCGAGGTCCTCCCACCTACTGTGAAGGGCCTTGCTTTCTTTGGCTGCATCCATAGGCACATCCCAACCTACCCACAGATCTTTAAAAAACAGACTTTAACCCAGGGAAGGGAACACTGGGTCTGAAACCTCAGCGCTGAGAAAGTGCACCGCGGGGGGCTGTACTGGCACCCGGAGCAGGCGGGGTGGAGCAGAGCTGGGCCAGGGACCCCAGGGCACCCGTCAGCCAGCCCTGTGGCTGTTGCAGCAGCCGGGGCCGGGGCCAGGGAGGAGGCCACTAAAGAAGCTGTGGGTAAGGCCTGTTGGGTTGGAATAGTCTTGGGAACCAGCCTGGGGAGGGTTCGGGACTAGTGGGGAAGAGGGGGGCTCCTGGGCGGTGGGACGCCTCACCGGGGTCCCCGCAGAGCCCCGGACCACCAGTCTGGAGGAGCTGCGGGAGCTGAAAGGCGTCGTGAAGCTGCAGCGACGGCATGAGAAGGAGCTGCGGGAGCTGGAGCGGCGCAGCGCACGACGCTGGGAGGAGCTGCTGCAGCGGGGCGCTGCGCAGCTGGCAGAGCTCGGGCCGCTGGGCATGGGGGGCAGCTGCGGGGGCCGCAGGCTCTGCCCGGGCAAGGGCTCCCGCAAGAAAAGGTAATGACGATGGCTACCAGCTGCCCACCGCTGCGCAGGTGCCGGTGGCAGAGTGCTTAGGACCTGTTCCCACGTGGCCTCCCCAGGACCCTGCCCTGCGAGGAGACCGCTGGGGCCATGCAGGGCGAGGGACCCGAGGGCGGCGCGGACACGCGCGTGCGCAGCGAGCTGAGGGACCGGCTGGAGCTGGAGCTGCTGCAGCAGGGCGAGGAGAAGTACGAGTGCATCCTGAAACGCAAGCAGCAGCAAGTGGCTGAGGTGCTGGCTCAGGGAGGGAGGAGAGCTACAACCAAACCCAGCCCGCACCCTGTGCACAACAAAGGGCTTCACCCTAAGCCCATCCTTCCTCTCCCCGCAGCAAATCGCCAAGATGATGGAGCTGGCCAGAGAGAAACAGGCTGCAGAGCTTAAGACCCTCAAGGAGACCTCGGAGAGGTATATGACTGCCTCCTTACCACGCCTGACTGCTACCTCCCAAGACTCCTCAGGTCCCCACAAAACTTCTCCTTGTTGCCTGTCTCTCTATAGTGACACCAAAGAAATGAAGAAGAAGCTGGAGGCCAAGAGGCTGGAGCGGATCCAGGCCATGGTCAAGGTCACCACTGACAAGATGGCCCAGGAACGGTGAGCCCTGGCAGAGAGGCTCAGGGCTCCATCTCCCGGCCCAGGGCTGAGCGGGAACCACTCCAGGGGGGGAGGCCTCCCTGCAAGTGGGCCTGACTCTCTTCCCAGAGATGCGCCTGTCTCCTGGCTCTAGAAAGTTAATTTCACTTCTGTCACCTCTGATTAGAGTGACTTCCTTCTGCAAGACACAGATGCCAACACTATTTGACCAAAGAGGAAAATTTAAGGGAAAATTAAGCATGCAAAGAGAGAGGTGAAATCTTGGGACAGCAGCTTCCCACCTGGGCTTTCCCATGCAGCTTGAAGGGCAGTGCGGGTTAGTGAGAAAGCACTTCCTTCAGAGGGCCCCCCGGAACTTTCTGTGACCCCTTAAATCCTCCTGGGGTCCCCATGTCAGCCCTGTGGTTTGTTCCTGCCCTTATATAGTCCTCATTTGGCTCCGAGGAGTCTTTGTGTCATCCCGCTCTTCCCAGGGGCCTCCTGCCCTCTCTGAAATTCTGATTACCCCAACAGGTTGAAGAGAGAGATTAACAACTCCCACATCCAAGAAGTAGTGCAGGTCATCAAGCAGGTATGCAATGCTGTGTCCTTCGCAAACACGCACATGTGCGCATGTGCTCTCCCGCAGGAGAGGAAGGGGGGTGCCGGGCCTGAAGCTTGCCCTTAGGAGCTACAGTGTGCAGAGTGTCCTGTGCAGCTGGGGAAGGCAGGAGGCAGTGCAGCGCCCGGGAGCCCCCAGGCCAGTGTGAGCATCTGACTTTCTGCGGAGTTTGGGTTACCAGTCTACGGGGGGTGTGTCCCTGTCGAGCTGCCCTGTATGGAAATGACACAAGCCAGGGTGGGTGAGAGGGAGCAAGGGGTGCTTTCTGAGGCTCCAAGGAGTTAGAAGAGGAAGGAAAGCCCTGCTGAGAATGGACCTAAAGGGGATTAACACCAGTATCAGAACTACTAGCTACTGACATGACCTTGTGCCAGACACTAAGCCAGGTGCTTCACACGAAGGGTCTCATATAGGCTTTCGTCATCCAGCGAGGCAGGTACTATTATCCTCATTTTACAAATTCAAAAAAACCTGTTCGAAGGTTAAGGAATTTACCCTAAGTGTTACAGCTGGTTAACCGGGACTGTCGCTGGGTGCCAGCCTGCCTGTCTGTGCTGCCCCGACTCCCCGACTCCCTGCCTGTCACTCCCACCCAGATGACAGAGAGCCTGGAGAGGCACCAGGAGAAGCTGGAGGAGAAGCAGGCAGCCTGCCTGGAACAGATCCGGGAGATGGAAAAGCAGGTGACGGAACCACCTCCCTCGCCCCCGGCACAGATGGCCTGGCTCCAGGGTGTAAAAGGGACCTGCTTCAGGGAGCGTCCAGTCAGGAGCTCGGGGTGGGGCTCACCCCTCACCAGTGGGTCACAGGGTCTGGTTCCCATGGGACCCTCTGACCCTTTCACATGAGGCAGCTCTTCAGGTCTCTGCTTAGTGGGCACCCCCTCTCCTGAGGGTCTCCACTATGCCCCACCTCCCGCCCCCATCACCTGGGAGCTCTGAAAAGGCTGGGCATCTCTTTGTTCCATTGTCCAGGGGAGGGAGAGTTGGTAGGTGGCCCCTCCTGAGCCAGGCGGTGGTCCTTGCTGTCCCCACAGTTCCAGCAGGAGGCGCTGGCAGAGTACGAGGCCAGGATGAAGGGCCTGGAGGAGGAGGTGAAGGAATCCGTGAGGACCTGCCTCAGGGCCTGCTTCCCCTCTGAGGCCGAGGACAAGCTTGAGAGGCCCTGTGAAGCCTCCAGGGAGCCGTGTGGGCTGGACCCACTTAAAGCCAAGGAAGACACCCAGGAGAGCTTCCTCTGATACCCCCATCCAACTGGGACGTTCTGCAAGGACCTATCTCCTTCTCTGGAGGAGGCTCCATACCCCAGGGAAGAAAGGCCCCAGCAGCCCCAGCACTCAGAGGCTATGGGACACTGGGGTCCCCTTGGAGCCTGCAGCACCCTCCTTGACAGCCAGGCTAGAGGAGGAGGCGGGGACCAGATATCGTCAGGGCAGGGGCTCATCAGAGACCTGGAGGTCCTCTGAGCTGACTTCCTGCCCCTCATTTTTCTCCTCCTGGAGTTAGTGTCACGTATTTGTTGAGGGCAAAAGAATGTGGCCTGGGAGGCAGGAAATGGGAGCCTGGCCTCCCTCTGCCTTTCCTGGTGTGCAGCCAGCGGTGGCCCACTCTGGAATCAGTTTCCTCAGCCGGACGGTTAGGCCTGGCCACCTGGAACCTCCACTCCAGCACCTGTAGTTCAAGCAGGATCCTTTCTGCAGTAAGGCTGGCAGCTCACCCTGGCTTCTGGGCCCCATCTCAGGCCTGCCCTGAGGCAGCCTCATTGCTGGCTCCCGGATACAGAGCCTGGCACTACCTCCAAGCTCCGGGGGGACTGCCGCCCATAGGATCCCAGGCTGAGGTCCCTTCCCTGGCTTCCCGCCTGTGGGGGATGGGAGGCTGACACGAAAAAGCTGCCTCAGCTGGTGGGCCCTCAGCCGCTGAGACAGCTGGGGCTGTAGCCGGTGGTGAGGGGAGAAGGATGGCCTTCTGGGCACTCTCCCACCCATAGCCTGGCTCACCCCTTTTCTTAGGTTGGGGGTGGTTATTTCCTGGCATGTGGCCCCACCCAGGCTGCCTGACAAGGTCAGCATCATTTTCTGTCCTGGTTTATTTATTTTTCTCCTTACTCCTACTAAAGAATGCTGTCCAAGATTTCCTGACTAAGCCTGGCCTCTGTTCTACAGCTAAGAAAAGGGGAGGAGAGGAGGCGAGTAGAATGGCCTGAAATGAAGCAGGCAGGGGAGAAACCCTTGGAGCCGAACCCCGGGGGGAGGTGTCCTCCACGGCCCAGCGGGATGGCCCTGCTTCTAGGCTTGAAGAGGAGTCACTTCCCCTTCCCCCCTCCTTGATGCCACAACCATTAAAACATGACATCACCCCCTTTCTCTACCCCCACCCAGATGTGGCCCTTCCCTGTCTCCACCCTCAGGGCTGGAGCAGAGGAGTCTACACAAAGGTGCCCCCACTCCCCACCCTCTCGAGGAGCTGCAAACCTTCAGACCCCTGCATCCCTTTAAGCTCACTTCCAGTGGTCAGATTCTCAGGCCCCTGTGGCTGTCATGGTTGACCCCAGCACTTGCTGTAGAAGGGCTTGTGGGCATCCAGTCATTGCACCTGTGACGTGGTCCCAAATCCCAAATGGGGCCAGGCACTGGCTTGGGAGAGGCGGGGTGGGGGTTGATTCTGGGAAGAGGTTGTTTTTGTACCAGAGTTTAGCAAATGCCATTAGCTATGTGCACCTGTGCCTTCGGAAAATAAACAGGACCCTCCCCATCCCTTTGGGGCCCTGACCTCTGGGATCCTAGCCATCCCTGACCGCATGGTGAGGCTCAGGGTCCGCTCATTCCCTGAAGTTAAGGCCTGTCATTGACCAGCCTGCGTACACACTGGATACAGCTGAGGGTGGTGCCCCGTCTCAGTCCTCCAGCTGCACCATCTGCCCCCCAGCTCAGAGGGAGAACCCAGGCCTAGAGCAACTCACTGGCCCAGACATGGGGGCGTACGCCAGAGCAAGCACCAAATAGAGCCAACCGGGCAGCGCCCAGCTTGTGACAGTGAGTGCCCAGGGGAGGGAGGGGCTGATTTCCCCTGCTTTTCTAAGCCAGGCCTGGCAGTCTCTGGGCTCCTAGTGTGGAGCTGGGGAGCCCAGGGATGGGGGCGCAATCCTGCCTCCTAGAGAGGCCTCTGCACAGCAAGCTGGGAGCTTCCGGACCCAGGTGCTCTCCTCCTTGCTTTCTGTTCTCTTAGGAGCAAGGTGCCCCTGGGAAAACACTGTCGTCTCTAGGCCCTGGAGATGAATTAATCCCCGGCATCAGGGGATGAGCCGACGAAGAGTTTACCTCTCTCAGGGCACTGGTCAGGTGAAAGGCACCTGGGTTCCATTCCTGCTGGGTATCTATGGGACTGGGCAAGGTTCCCTGTCTACTTACCCTGCCTCAGTTTCACCTTTTGCATAAAGAGTAGGGTCCCTACTGCCTTCTCAATCCCACTGCTGATTCAGATGCCAGATCCCCTGTTGACTCACCCACCCCCTGCACTCCCCCCCCCTTTTCCCTGCACCCCCCAAGCTCTCCCAGCCACATGCCACCAGGCCCAACCCTGCTGAGCTGGTGCAACGTGACAGGGTGAGGGGGTTGGTGACACTTGAAGAGGAAAGAAGAGGGTCTGGGGGGTGGGCAGCTGCAGACAGTGACAGACTGCAGACCTGAGCTGTCTTTGCAAGGAAGCCCTTTTGCCAGCCTGGGGCCAGCAGGGGAGAGGCTCAGCGGGTGGGAGGAGAGAGGGAGTGGAATGCCTGCCTGCCCCCTGCCTGCCTCGGCTCTATCTCCTGTCAGCCTTCAGCTCCCTAAGAGACAGCTTCTAATTTGGGCTGTTGGTGCTCTGTGCTCTGCAGCAAAGTTTCAGCTTTTTCCCCCCCCCCCAGCTTTGCTATTTCTTTTCTTTTCGGAACATACTGAGCCCACAGGGAAGTCAGAGCAAAGGCTCCAGGGCCTGAGACCTCACCCCGCCCCCCCCACCCTACCCCACCACAGGCCTGGCCTGATTGGCAAGGCCACCTGGAGCAAATGGAGCAGCTACTCCTTCCAAAGAGCACCCAGCACAGGGCTCTCTAACAGGCCAGGGTGAGGCCCTCAAGGGCAACTTCCTCAGCTCCTCTCCTCCGTGGAACTGTCTCCATCTTCCAGGGACAGCAACAGGGACGTTGGTGAGGCAGAGCTGCCTCAGGGAGGCTCAGGGGAGAGGGGCCATGGCTCTTCGGGGCCATGGCTCTTCAGGGCCAACGAGGTGCCCAGTCGGTGTTCCTGTTTCTCTCCTTCATGTGGCAGGGTCACTGCCTCGCTGTAGGATGGCCTGCCACACACAGATTCCAGGGGTACCCCTGGCCTGACCCTGGAAACAGAGAAAGAAGGGAAGAAAGCAATTTCCTTCATGGTGGAGAAAAGGGAAATTAAGTCACGAAGGGAAGAAAAGCCTTTCTTCATCTGCCTGAGTAAAGAGCTCAGAGAACATTCTTGTCTTCGTGGGGGTTGGAGAGTCTATACCCACCCCTGGGCGACACCCAGGTCTGGGGGCGGGATTGGGCTTTGTGCATGCTGGATAATTGTGTAGTTCTTCTCCTGACACTCTCTAGCAACATCTTGCCTGATGCAGGCAGGGTAGTATTATTGGCTCCATTTTGCAGGCGGGAATCGCACTGCTAGTAAATGCCTTCAAGCTGGGAATTAATGCTGATGTCAAACCCTGGCAGAGCCCTGAGCAGAGGGATTAAAAAATGCAAAAAGAAGGAAGAGGGGCTTCACAGTTGCGCAGGTTTGCATCACATGTTCCTTTGGGGCAGGCTCCCAGGGGCCTGGGAGCTGGAGAGAGGCAAGAAGTTCAGGGTGCAAGGCCATGAGGCCACTGGCCATGCACCCATGCACAGTCTTCCTGCTCGAGGCAAACCTTCTCCTGGCCCTGTACCTTTCCCCAGGCAAGCCCTGCTGCACAGCTTCTTGTCACTGCTCTGTGTGGGCTGAGGACACTTTTCCTTTTCTCTTAATTTCCTGTCTTTCATAGGAAGGGACCCTTTCAAGCAGCCCCCGACACTCTCCTTCCAAGGTGTTTTTCCTGCCTCCAGGCCCTTGCTGCAGTAACCGGGCCTGGAAAGTCCTCCTTGCTTCTTAGCAGCCGGATCCTGCCCCACGCTTCCTTGAAGACCCCCTCAGAAGCTCTACCCTTAGAAGACCTCAGAGCCCTCCCTTCCCCACAACTCCACCTTCTGCTCTAAGGGCTGTCTCTGTTTGTATTTGACAGATAAATTCAGCCTTCAGGTGATAGACTCCACTTCTTATGTTCCACTCAAGAGGGGAGGTCTTTTCCATCCAGAACCGAACTTCTGCTTCTCTATTTCCCACCGTTGGAAACACAATACCTGGCTCACGAAAAGAATCGGCAAATTCTGTGGTTGATACCTGATTTCACCTCTTATTTTACAAATATCAATTTCAACCCTACACACCCTCCCACATCCCTCTGGCTCTGAGGCGCCCTGACTCCCCGCACCCTAAGCCTGTGCACCCCGCCCCCCAGGGCCATGCAGCTGGCCAGAGGGAGACTCGATGCATTGGTTTTTCCACACCCTATTGACTCAAGCTGTCTTCTCTCCGAAGGGGTCAGCTAGTGGTGAAGTTCAGAGCCTTGTGGTCTGGGGGTGGTTTTATGCTCAAGAGGGAAATGGGGGCGGCGGGGAGAAGCCGTGGGGAGAGCCTTGCGTGTGTCCCTCGACCTTTGCTCTTTCCGGGGTGGCGGCGGGTCCTGAAGCAGAGAGAAGGCGGTCCCCAGGAGTTGCTGCGGCGGCGGCGGCACTCCGGAATCCTAAGGCGCCGGGAGCTGGCGGGCGGGGCGCGCTGCAGGGGTTGGAGACGTCTGAGACTGGAGAGAGCGCTCTCCCCCCCACCCCCACTCCCAGGGAGCCTGTGCGGGAGGCACAATTGCGAATGCGTGGTTCGCTACACGAGTGGCAGTTCCCAGCCAGACTGAGCGCCCCCGTCCTGCGCGCAGCGCAGCTACCCTTTCTCTCAAATTACTCCCAGTCCGCCTCTCGCAGCCACCCTAGCTCGCTTTTGGTCCGGTTCGGCTTTCATGGGGTACCATTTCTTCCCACCTGGACCTCTGGGGGCAACGCCCAGTCTTCCCCGACGGTCCCGAGGTCCGGCCAGTTTTTAAGGAGTCCAGGGCACAGACTCAGATGGGAGCAGAGGGCGGGGAGAGAAGACTGTGACTTTTGGATTGGCCCGATCGGGTGCATGTGGCCCACAACGAACAGCCCCCGCCACCTCCCGCAGCCGCCGCTGTAGCCCTAAGGGAGCGCGGAGGAGGAGCTGCTCCCGTAGATCTAGGCCCGCGAAGCTGTGGGGGTCAGGGTTGGTCTCCGCTGCCCGTCCTTTTCTGACTTGACGGCTCAGCCCGCTTCCAGGGCAGCCATTGCCATGGAGACCCCCGAGGCTGTAAAGTCAGGTATCCAGGTGGGTGGCGGCTCCCGCGCCGCTGAGCCCCTCAAGTAAGGAGCAAGCGCCCTGGCGTGGCCCGGCCCCCGCGAGAGGAGAGGAGGCGGAGGAGCGGCGTTAGCAGCTCGAGGAGCAGTGCGCCCCGCCAGGGCTAGAGGCAGGCGCGCGAGGCTGGCGCCACCGTCTCGGCAGGGGAGCGGGGGCTGCCCCGGGTGCGGGTGAGTGGCGCGGCTGAAGGCCACGAGGGACTGAGGGACACGGGGGAGGCAGCGGGAGTGTCAGAAGCGGGCCGAGTTTCGGCTCCAGCCGTCTCGTGGTGGGCCAGGCACGGAGCGCGGAGGAGCGAGCAACCTACACCTCTAGGCAGGCGGGAAGCCCCGGGAAGGAGAAGCGAGACTCCAGGCGTGGGGCCCAGTTGCGGCAGGACAGCGGGAGCCGCGGGGGCACCGGAGTGTAAAACTCAGGACCCTCGGCCGCAACCACCCACGCAGGCAGGGTGCCACGCCAGAGACCCAGCGGGGGCCAGAAGCCGGCGGGGCACGGGAACAGGGGCGCCCCCGTGCGGTGCTGCCGGGCCGCCTAGGGGCGGCGGCCGGTGCCATGCTCAAGCCCAAGGACCTGTGCCCCAGAGCGGGTACCCGCACCTTCCTGGAGGCCATGCAGGCGGGCAAAGTGCACCTGGCTCGCTTCGTGCTGGACGCGCTAGACCGAAGCATCATCGACTGCCGCGCGGAACAGGGCCGCACGCCACTCATGGTGGCCGTGGGCCTGCCGGACCCCGCGCTGCGCGCGCGCTTCGTTCGACTACTGCTGGAGCAGGGTGCGGCCGTGAACCTGAAGGACGAGCGCGGCCGCACGGCGCTCAGCTTGGCATGCGAGCGTGGCCACCTGGACGCCGTGCAGCTGCTGGTGCAGTTCAGCGGCGACCCCGAGGCAGCTGATTCGGCTGGCAATAGCCCCGTGATGTGGGCAGCGGCGTGCGGCCACGGGGCGGTGCTGGAGTTCCTAGTGCGCTCTTTCCGCCGCCTCGGCCTGCGCCTCGACCGCACCAACCGTGCCGGCCATACAGCGCTGCAGCTGGCTGCCGCCCGCGGTCATGGAACCTGCGTGCAGGCCCTCACCGGGCCCTGGGGCCGCGCAGCCGCCGCCGCCGCTGCAGCCGCGGCTCGGGGCTCCAACTCCGACAGCCCCCCTGGCCGTCCGGCTCCCGCGCCCAGCCCGGAACGCCGACGACCCAGTCCCCGGCGCCTACAGCGGCCTCTCCTGGCGCGCTTTGCGCGAGCGGCCGGCGGCCATGGTCATGGAGGCGAGGCTGGCTCAGGGGGCAAGAGCTCGGGCCGGCACCGGGCGCAGGGAAGCGAGCGGCCCGAGTTGGGCCGGAGCATGAGTCTGGCTCTGGGTGCTGTGACAGAAGAAGAGACGGCTCGACTTCGGGCGGGAGCCCTGATGGCCCGACCACACTCGCCCCAGTCTTCGGGGACCGGGCGGTGGCATTCGCATGAAGTGCTGGAGGGAGCGCCCCCAACTTTAGCGCAAGCCCCCATCGGCCTTAGCCCCCACCCCGAGGGCGGCCCCGGCTCCTCTGGCCGCTTGGGTTTGCGCCGACGCTCCACAGCTCCAGACATCCCCAGCCTGGTCGGGGAGGCACCAGGGCCCGAGAGCGGCCCGGAGTTAGAGGCCAACGCTGTGCCGCATTCGATGCCTGGACCCCAGGCTTGGCAGGCAGGCACGGAGGCCGTGGTGTTGCACGCTCAGCAGTAAACAGCATCGAGGACGAGCCCTGCTCCCTGCACCTGCCTGCCTCTGCTCCCGTCCTCACTTTCCTGGCAGTTTCCCTCCCATCTGTGATCCCAGCACCTGTCCCCACTGCCAAGATAAGTGGCCTTCTCTCTGAAAGGGACCCCTATTATTTCTTTTTTGTGCTTATTGGTATTTTTGGTATTCCCTGCCTAAGTCTCACCTTCTCCGCAGCCTGCCTTTCCTGTCCTGCAAGGGGAGGAGTAGAAGACTGGTTCCATGGGCTACAGCCTTCCAGGAAGGTGGACCCCCTTCCCTGCACCCTGAGGCTCGGTCCTGAGTCTGGCTGGCCCTTGCTTGGTCTCCTTCCCCTCCTTTGGTGGGGGGCCAGGTTTCCCCACACCAAAGCAGCGAGTATGCAGCAGAAGAGTGGACCTGTACAACCAGGGTCTAGTCCTCTCCCTCCCAGTGATGCTGACAATAATGCCATACTTGACCTAAGTCCCCTTCCCCTTAAGTGTTGGAGACAGGGAGCATGGAGATGGGCCTCACAGACTTTTGGGCAAGAGGGCTGATGAGGAAGGAATCTTCTAGAGGTTAAGTTTTTCTAGGGAGGATCTCCTGCTTCAAGACAATGAAAGCCTGTTTTGCAAGTGACAGAACCTCTGGTGTTGAATGCTAATTGTCCTTTGAACCAGCTTCTGGGTAATTCCAGTCCCCTCTTTCTCTTCCTCAGGCCCACCCAGAATTCAACCTCATTGACAGTGTGGCCCTGGCCAACACCATCCCCAGGCTCAGCTGCATTTGAGTTCCATCTTTGGGGTCTCATCCCTCGTGGCCCAGCCTTATTTCCTCTCACTCTAAGAGGCCTGAAATGGAAAGCACTTCTCCCACCCCCACCTCCTCCCAGCTCCCCCATCCCACACGTGGGTGCTCCTGCAGGGTGGAACTGTTGCGAAGGCATTTTGCTTCATTGTGTTTCTCCCAATCCTCAAAGAACCCGTGTTTTGAGTCTTTGTATATGAAGCAGAAAGCAGCAGGTCTGATCCGAGGCTTAAGAACCTGACAATGTCTCTTTAAATAGAAGCTCCGCGAGGGGGATAATTGACTGAAGTGTTTGCCACGTTAAACGACGGCGCGCGGGAGTCAGAAGCCCACACGAGCTGCAGGTCTGGGTTTAAATTACATCAAACTCCAGCGAGAGCTGGGAGGGGGCTGTTAAACGGCTCCTGCTTCTCGCTGGGCCGTTAATGGAGGGCAGAGCGGATGATGGATGCAAGGGGTCAAGACCAAGGACCCCTGCCTCTGCCCCAACGCGTGGGACGCAGGTCCGGCCCCCGCTTCATTACTGGGCAGATTAGTGAGTCAGAGGCAACCGCAGAGAGGTGGTAAAAGGCCCTTTCCCGGCCTGGCCTTCGTTCCCTCCCTCCCCGCCCCCTTCTTTGTGCCGGCCTAGCCAGGGGGGAACTAAGGGGCCTGGCGAATCTCACGCCCCCGGGCCGTGCGGAAGTACTAGCACGCGTCTGTGCACCCAGCCCGCCAGGCGGCGGCGCGTGGAGCTCTTTCTGTGAACCCCGAAGGTTGAGTGTGCACCCACTTACTCACCTGCGGAGGGGTCTTTTCAAGACGTCCATCTGTTCGTCTTTGCAGAACGAAAGGTTTCTCACCAGTAGCTCTAAGGGAACTGCCAAGAGGGAGAATGACCTGTGCTGGGAAGTCAGGTCTCGGGGTGACGGGTGGCTGATCAGGAGTGGGCCCTGCGGGGGCAGGTATCAGACGACTCCCTAATCCGCCCACCCTTCCCGGCCCGCGAGGCCGCGGGGAGCGGGAGGGGCGGAGGGCGGGGGTCGGCGCCCTACACGGGCCGTGATCTCTGGTGACCCCTGGTGGCGGCACTGCAGTCTCACTGTGTCCTGGCTCGGAGTTCGGACTTTTGGTTTTATCTGAGATCATCTCTGCTGTTTACTTCTTCCTCTGTGTGCATTTGCCCATAAAATCTTCAAACTCTTGTAGTATATTAAATCCTGATACTTGAAGTCATTTCACAGCAGTGAAGTAAGGGACAATGAACAAAAAAATCGCATTTGGAGTAACGGGAGCGCAGACCCTTCACTAAAGACCCCAAGATCTTCCAGTCTAAGTCTCTGTCTTCAGAGGTCCTGCCATCTTCTGAAAAACTGGAGCTTCCAACCTCTTCTTCATGATTTCTGAACCGTGGGACCTGCTGATCACGCACTGTTTTCTTCTGATGAGCCCTGCTTTTGTTTCTGGGGTGCTTTGCCCTTCCCCCACTCCTTTCCCCTCAAACATCTGCCTCCCTTAGTCCACTGCCTGGGTGGTGGGGTAAACAATACAGAAGCTCCTGAAAAGCCAGAAGGAGGGGATCTGGGGTAGGATGGGGGTGGTTAGTCACCCCAAGTGCAAACTCCTTTTTTTCCTGATCACTTATCCCATTGCTTGCTCACTCCCTTTCCAACTGTGTTTAATTTTCATGAAGTTTCTAATGGTATAAAAATACAAGTATTTTGGCTTCTTCAAAACACCCTGAGGTCTGAGTTGCACATTATGTTGAAAGTTCTGTATCTTTCAAGTGTCACTGACATGGGGCTTTCTGGTTGAATGTTACCTGTGCCCTCTTTATTGGGTAAACAACCACAAGGGCCCCTCTCTGTGGAGTTGCCAAGGGCTGGGTAGTTGAAAGTGATGTTTCTAAAAAAACCACAGCTGATCTTTCCTGTCTGAACTGAACTGTGTGTCTGATTGACTTGCTGTTCTTGCAGGTTTCTTACCAGGCCCAGCTCAGTGCAAAACTTAAATGTTTCACCACATTTTGCTGTCCTGAACTTCCTCTCATTGTCAGCCCCAAGGGCATTGGGGGCTGGGGTCCTCTCTAGCTCTCTCCACTTTAGAAGAGACTTTCTAAACATTTTGCTTTGCCAATTCTTGTTGCTTTCGTCATTGTGAAAACGTACCCATGCCGCTGGAATCCAGCACTGAGATCAACTCAGAACTGGTCTGAGTGAGGCGGAATGACTGACACACACTCTTTCGGAATGCCATGGTGTGGGGGAAGGACTGTCAGGACTCAAAGAATAGTTAATAAATCCCGTATTGTTCAGTTGGGAGAACTGGCCTCTCTTTGCCTTACCAACCGCTCCTGACTGCAGGCTTGTTTTGGAGAGGCGGAAGGGTGCACTTGCCTCCATCTCTGCCCGTCCCACTATGGCTGCCTCCAGGAGGTAAGACTCAGGTGCTATTTCTGGCAGAGCTGGTGGGCCTGGAGCCCTGGACCAGGGCAGCTATCTAGGTGTGAATGCTGTGGAGAGCAGGCCATGGTCTGCATGGCTCCTTGCTCCTGATTAAGAGGTTTCAGTGAGCCCTGGGTTAGGGGGTAGAATGAGCTCTCAGAAAGGAAGTACTGGAATCAGTTTTAGAGCTAGAAGTTTTAAGATAATTTCTTCCACCCACCCCCCCACCCTCAAAGCCCGCTTTCTTGATTTCCAGCCACTGCACGGCTCTTTCACAACTCCTAAGTCCCTCAGTTCTGAGAACCCAAACAGAGACCGCTTTCTCACTGGGAGCAGTTTCGGGCCCCTTCCTATGGACAGCTGAAAGATAGTAGCTTTTCACTTTCCAGGGATGAGAAGCAAATAGGGGAAGGGAGAAGCTGCTGCAGAAAGCGGTCATTAGCCTTAGTGGCTGCTCCCAGAGCCCCTGTGGAGCCAGCAAGCAAGATGCAGGGCCCTGGCTTTCCTGGCTAGGCCCCTCTCCCCTGGGAAGGAGCCTGTCTATTTCTCAGCTCTTGCAGTCTCAGGGGTATTTCACTTCCTGTTTCCCTCACTCTCTGCCGTCATTTTGGGTCCACACACCACCAGGAGGATTGGGTTTTCTGTGGACTAGAGTGGCCAGTGGAAAGCTCATGTTGGGGAGGAGAGGGCCACACTAGACACCTACTATGGAACGCTCGCTCCCAGAGACAAGAGGAAGTCCAGAGGTTTTGAACACTCAGTTTAATTTAAAACAGGCACAAGTGCAAACAATTCACAAAAGTTTCTAGGGAAGATGCTTTTGTTTTCAAAACTCTGACCCTTAAAAAAAAATCCTTTTTTTTTTCTTGTTTCTTTTTTGCCCCAAAGCAGGCCACTAGGGAGCAGAGGAATCTAAAAATACGATCTAGATAGGGTCTGGGCTCCCGGTGTTCTTCCCTGTCTCACAACAGCCCTGGAAGTAGGAGGAGGACAAGGAGACAGGTGCCTGAGGAGGCAGTGAGGGGCGGAGGGTTTGCACAAATGGGGTGCCCATTCTCTGGACATGATGGGGCCCCAGGAGCTGGTTCACCTCTGCCCCAGACCAGGATTTTGGAAAGAAAGAGTCCCTGATGTCTTGGTTGTTGAGATGAAGCTCACAGGTAAAACAGAGTTTGTTTCCTCGACCTCGCACGCTCAGGCCCTCAGGCTCCACCACGCAGGGGAAACCGGGAGCCCCGCGCAGCCCACGGGACGAGTTCGTCTCCACACGGACCTCTTCACTGTTCGGGTAGAGACACAGGACTTTCGGGGGTGGGAAGCCAGATCAGGAGAGCCGGGCCCCTCAGAGCAGAACTTAGTGGGGAAGAGGACGAGGATGCCTAACTGAAGGGGCCAGGCTGTGGGGGTGGCCTTCCTCCACTCACACACACACGGGCACATGTGAGCACCCGCACCCTGTGAAGTGACACCACCTTGGCCACCGGCCCCAGTATTTCTCTTTCACCCAGAAAATGTCCCTTCCCCTCCCATGGCCTGCGAACGGGCTGCCCACAGCTGGGAGCGGCCGTGCACGAGGGCGCAGTGCAGGGTCTGGAAGCAGGTGCAGGTGGGGCTGTGCCTTTAGGAAGGCAGATCAAGGGAAGACGATGGGTGCAGGTAATAAAAGCCTTCCCTGTGACCCTCTCCAGACACCAGGGTTTGGAACTGGATCTGAGAACAGCAAGTATCCTAGTGAAGACAGGCACTCTGCCCTCTTGGGTGGCCTGGGATGCCAGTATACAATTGCCTTTAAAAAAATCGCAGCAGCCTTTTCTGCTGTGTTGGCTGCAATGTCCAGAAATGCTGGTCTCCGTGTGTCTTAGAAATATCCCTGTGCAAATAACAAAGGGTCATTCTGAAAAAGGGGTCTCCATCATCCCAAAGGCAACTGGGGACTCTCTTGTGAGGGGAGAGAGACTGAGGGGCAGGTCCGGCCTGGCCCAGTGGGCTGAAGGGCAGGAGGGTGGGGGTGGGGTTTCACATTCAATCTTTGGAGAGAATACTGAGAGAGTGAGGCAAGCAGGCCCTGCCAGCAAGCTGGTTGCCCAATGTCCCCTGCCTGTGGGCACAGGTGGCAGGTGCACCCTGGGGGTGGGCTCAGCAGGTGGAGGTCTGCTTGCGGTAGAGCTGGATCAGGGGCACCAGGCACTCGGGGAGCCCAGTCTGCAGCAGGAAGGGGTGGTCCAGGAGCTCCTGGGCCGTGGCTCTCTCCTGGGGGTCCCGCACCAGCATCCGTTCCAGGAAGTCTCGCAGCACTGGGGAAACCTGTGGAGACAGGGCAGTGAGGAAAAGCTACGATCTGTAGTCATGTTGGGGCTACCATACACCTGGCCCCACCATCATCTGAAAGTCTTAAATTCTCTCTTTTCTTCCTGCTGCCTCCCAGGTTTAGCACTTCTGGGATTATCTGGTAGGCATAGAAAATCAGTATCAGTCCAGAAAAAGTGGCCAGTTTGCCTCTAGGGGGTGCTGCTGAGCAACAGACTTAGGATGCCTGGAGCCCTGGGGAGGGGAGCTCTGAATACAGCCCAGCTCTAAATACAGCCCATTCCACACCCCCTTTCTCTGGGCTCTCTCTGCGTTCAGGTCCTGTGGAAGGGGGCACGGGATAGGTATCAGTGATGCAGCCCTGTGTTTATCCCTAACCTCCAGGAAGCTGCAATTTTCTCTAGACCTCAGTTTTCTCATCTGCAAAATGGGCTAATAATAAATTGTGCTTGTTCTGTCTGCCATAAAGGGCTTTAGTGAGGATAAAAAAAAGAGGTTAGGGATGAAGAAGTGTTTCTGAAAAATAGAAAAGAACAAGGTGGGCCCTGAAAAGGAAGATTTCTTTGTTGCTCTAAGCCTTAGAGTCAAGTCAAGGACTTACCTTGGTTACTTTTGAGCCAGTACCTTGAGGTGAGGTAAGAAGGCTGCCTGCTCTGGGTAACTAGTCAACTGGAAATGTCCCCTATCTGCTAATGCTGGGGTCAGCAGTGGTCCCCCAAAACTTGCTGTCTCAGAGGTGTTTCCCATCCAGCTGTGTTTGAGCCACAGGACTTCAACCCTCTGGGACACTTCTCACTCTGGCCACCAGATGGCAGAGACACTTTGCAGCCCTGTGCTGACCTGGCCACCAGACAGGTGTCTACAGGTGAGGCCTGCTGGTTTGGGTGGATTTGGTAAAAAAGGGTTACACACGTGTGTGCACACACACGCGCACGCGCGCACACACACAGGTTTTAAGGGGAAAACTGTGGCTCAGATGTGGTCAGGATGTGCAGTGATGGAGGACAAGCCGATTCACTGCGACAGACTGGGGAGGGCCACGCCGAGGCTCAGCTCTCGCGACAGCTGGGGCTGAAGGGTTCCCGCTCAGCTCTCCTCTCTAGATCCCTCCCCAGATCACCAGGGATTCCTGGCAGCTTTGCTCTCCCTTCTCTCAGGCTCCTGTCAATCTCCCGCAGGTAGAAACTTGCCGGAGGGACCGTGGGAGTCTGTATACAGACGTGGCTCCATGCCTAGGTTCGGGCGTTGTGTGGAGGAGGAGGAGTCTTTTCCAGGAACCCAGACTCTGGCTTCTGTGAAAGGGAGAGGCTGGGCCTGGGAGCCCAGGCTCTGGTCCTCTAAACTTCAGGGAGAATGGGGTCTGTGGGGTCACGCATTATGCACCCACTGACCTTATGAGAATTTCTCAGCTTGGGTGGGGAGCTGTCCCGGAGCCTCTTCATGGCTTGCACTGGGGAGTCACTGAAGTAGGGTGGCTCCCCATCCACCATCTCAATCACCATGATGCCCAGAGACCAGATATCCACCTGCAGGAGGAGAATGTCGCTGACTCTGCTGGCCAGAGCCTGACCCTGGGTAGCAGCACGCTGCGGGGGGAGGGGGGGGGGCGGCGGGCAGCTGCTCCCAGTTCTCCGTAGTGAGTTAGCTTCCTTCCTGGACACTTGCCCTGTGAGCAATTACTTCCTGTATGAGTGACCTTGACCAGGGACACTCTCTGAGAAAGATTATCACATATGGGGAAGCCTGGCCATATCCCACCTTGCCCTTGAGCTGGGGACAAGCATTTTGGGGACCAGTTTGTGGCAGCAAAGTCACAGGCAAGAGTAGACCCATCCAAGAAGGGACAGTGGGCAGTGCGGTAGGGTCTTGAGTAAGTGGGGACCTGAGAACCAGGGCTATTTTTGGTGGGAGGGGACCCAAAGAGGAAAATTTCCCAGCGATTTCTGGGAGGGCTGGGGGATGGAGGGATCGGTTACCTCGGTGGCATACGGAGACCTGGAGATCACTTCCGGGGCCATCCAGTAGGGAGTTCCCACCAGGGACTTCCTCTTAGGGACGTCTTTGCTGATCTGAGCGCAGAACCCGAAGTCTGACAGTTTCACCTGGGGGTCAGGCAGGAGGGAAAAAGGGGAGTGGTGAACTAGGATGGGCCATGCTGGGGGAGCAGGGAAGTGGGAGTGTGGGGGTGCCAGGGTGGGGAGGTCCCTACCCTGCCATCAAGGGTCAGCAGGATGGAGTCACTCTTGATGTCCCGGTGTATGACACCCTGGGCATGCAGATAAGCCAGGGCCTGCAGCACGGCCTCACACACAGTGGCAATCTGCTCCTCGTTCAGCCTGGACAGGGAAGGCAGGGCCACCATCGGAAGACAATGTTAGCTTTGGCTGGGCTACAGGACAGATGGGCTGAGAGAGCAGGCACCCCACAGGCCCCACAGTTCCTGGGCGGCGTGTGCAGGAGCCCTGTTAGGAGGGAACCCTGGAGGAAGTGGGCCTGGGCCTGGGCTGGACACCCCCTTGCCCTCCCACTGCCCTGGGTCTTTGGGTCCTCTTAACCTGAACAGATGGGGGCTCTGGGGGCGATCTGAGAGTTCCCCAAATCTGCTGGGCCCCCGGCTGCCTGACATCCCTGCCAGGCAATGGTGGGGCAGCCAGCACTCGGGGCCCAGCCCCCAGCTGCCCACCTGACTTGGGAGATGATGTCGGTGAGGGCCCCGCCCTGCAGGAACTCCATAAGCACCCACAGCTCCTCGCCCACCAGGTAGCTCTTGTACATCTCCACCACGTTGAGGTGCTGGTAGTCCCGCATGATCACCACCTGGGGGCAGGCGGGGATGCCTGAGTGCCGGGCAGACCCCACAGCCCTGCTCGCACCCATCTGGCCTGGCTCCTGGCTCGGAGCTCCCTGCCCATCCCAGATGACCGCCCACATCCACTTTCTCCTCCCACCTCATTAAAGAGCAGCTCCCTGCGCTGCTGCTTCCTGAGGTCCATCATCTTGACGGCCACCTGGCGGCCCGAGTGCTTCTCCCAGGCCAGGCAGACAATGCCCGTGGAACCCTCGCCAATCTTCACGTAGCTGTCCAGCAGCAGCCGGGGGTCACCCTGGTCCACCACCATCCTGAGTGCAGCCTTGAACTGCTCGTGCGTCACGATGCCCGTGTCCTCACCAGCCAGGGCACCCTTGGCTACCGTGGGGTCCTGGGGCAGGTACAGGTTGCTGGTGCTGATCTGGGTGTGCCGGGTTCGTGGGGAGCCAGCAGGGGAAGACCGGCCTGGAGGAGGGCCAGCGGCGGGAGCTGTGCGGAGGGACTTCTGGGGGCTGCTGGTATCTGAGGTGGTCAGAGGGCTGAAGGTCCCCGTGGGCTGGTCTGAGGGCAAGGACTGGGCCTTGGCCACCAGGCTTGTGGGGGAGCCTTGGCCACAGGCTTGTGGTGGTCGGAATGAGGAGCTGGGCTGCAGGGAAGAGAAAGAGAAAGAGGTCTGGCCGTGGGGATGTCTGGAGCAAACGTCCCACAGCAGAGGGCGGCTGCCATGACACCCGGACACGGGCCAGGTTAATCACCAGGGCATCGGGCCAAGTTGGGGCAGTGCTGCAAGCAAAGCTTTTCAAACGGAGCAGAAGCCAAACGACAGTCCTGCTTGGGAAACCAACCCCCACTGCTCCCAGGTGAGCAGACCACACAAGAGCTCTCTATATCCACTTGCCTGCTCCTGGGAAGACAAAGAAAGCAGAGTCCCTGGGGCGTCCTTGTGCTAGCTAGGTGTTTCTTCCTGGGGAGTTGACAGCCAGAGCCCTGAGAGACCACTGGGAGGCGGTGCTCCCTCTGCAGCCGGCTGCGCGGGGTTCTGGGTCAGAGGCAGTGGTCCCTCCCGCGGTTCCCCACCCAGGGGCCCACGCAAGTGGAAGTGCTGCTGCGTCCCCCACAGAGGACTGCAGGGCCGTGCTTCCCTCTCGGGGCTTTCAGGTCCCCCCCACCACACACACACACACACTGCCCCGGGCTGAGATATGGTGCCAGAGAGAACTGGGATCAGGAGGGTAGGTCAGCCAAACCCAGCCCTTGGGGCCAGGGATCCTGGGGAAGTTTTCTGAGGGCTCCCCAGAGGAGCCCCTCCACTTGCTCTCAAGCACAAAACTCCTGGCTGGGGACCACCCACAAGCAAGGGATGGCAGGGCCTGTCCGTGTGGGAAGGGAGGGGAGCTGGAGCTGAGAGACAGACAGACTGCCATCCCCCCCCCCCCCCCGCCCCACACGAGCCCTGTGCAGCCCACCCCTGGAAGCTTTTGAAGCTCCCCCGCCTTTCTAGGCCCGGAGTCTCCCACCAGTCCTGTCAGGAAATGACCCCCAACCTCGGGGGCTCCCCATGCAGCTGGTGGTGTGCGACACGATATGAATTATGTGTTTTTAAGAGGGGCACGGGGAGAGGGCCCTAAGCAACCCAATAGGGGCCTTCGGGCCGCAGAGAGGCCCTCTCAGGGCTCCTTGGAGCCCACCGCAGGCGGTTGTCCCGGTGCCGCTGGCTACCCGCCCCGGTTCCTGGAGCTGCCGCCACTTTCAGGAAGCCTTCTCAAGCAATGAGCTTGGGCTGAGCTGCTTGCTCAGGAGCCCCAGGTCTGGGCCCTGGGTCCCCTGGGCTCAGCCAGAGCCTTTCCAGCCTCTGCAGCACCCCTCCCCAGGCTTCGGGGCCCCCACCCCACCACAGTCCCCGGCCTTGTCTAGGGCTGAGCAGGTGTCCCTGCCTGCAGAGAGCTGAGAGCCCAGCACTGCCGTGGCCGGGGACGTGGGGCACAGGGGTGATGCGGCCAGACTTGGTCTTCACCTCCGCAGGGATAGGTCCAAGTGTCCCTCCGCTGGCCCTGCTGCCTGTCTCCACAAGGAGGGAGCTTTTACTCAATGTCACCACAGGAAGGGACCAGATGAAACTTGCTAAACCACACCAGGAAAGGGAAAGGAGACAAATACAAAATTAAGAAATTTTGTTATGGGCTCTGGATTAATTCTGGAGTTCCTTGTGTGCCTGAGACCTCTTTTCTGGCAGGGAACCGCAAGCAGAGTCGTGGGCAGAGTTACAGCGGTGCTCATGCTGCCTTCCCGGCCACGGTAGCAGCACTGGGCTCCCCGGCTGTGGGTCTGGGGCTGCACTGTAAGTGCCCCAAAGGCAGAGGCCATGGCATAATATTCAAAAAATAATAAAGCCATTCATTGCAGGTTTAACACTCGGACAAGGGCCTTAAATGCATTATCTCATTTGATTCCCACAACCCTGTGGGCTGTTTTATTATCCCATGGGCACTCTTATTATCACACTTGTAGATGAGGAAACGGGGTCAGAAAGGCTAAGTACCTTGCCCAGAGTCACTGAGTAGTGAGGGGCAAGGCAGACTTCAGCTCCGGTCAGCCCAACCCCTGGCCCCTGTGCACACTCGTGTCGTGTATCATTGGCATGCAATGGAGTACCCAGTACACAGTAGGGGCCTAACCGATGTTTGCTGATTACTGAGGTCTTCTGACGTGGCCTTTCTGCCTCTAAGCGGAACCACTTCTAAATCCCCAGATTTATAACTGTCCTGTCTCTTTGTCCTCCCCGCCCCCACTCGAGGTCTTCTATTGCTCTTTAGCCAAAGTGAGTGACCACAGGCCAAGCTGCCTGGGCCAAGCCCGTGAGCCCTAGTGCCACAGGTGCTCCTGCAGCCACTCCTGGCCGGCCTTGGCCACCGGCAGCCTGGCCTCCTCCGGCCCTCGCAGCACTGCTGCCGGCCTGCAGGCCTGCACGGGCTGAGTGTGCGGGGCTCCTGGGGCTGCGAGGGAGGAGCAAGCTGGACGCCTCCCATCCGTGTGGTGATTTGCCTGAAGCAGTGTTCTCGACTGGGAGTGACTGCCACTCAAGGGAAGTTTGGCCGTATCTGGAAGGATTTTGGTGGTCTCATCAGCAGGGTGCTGCTGCAGTCTAGGGGGCAGAGACCAGAGATGCTACTAAATGTCCCACAATGCACAGGACAGCCCCTGTGACAAAGGATGATCCAAATGCCTCCAGTGCAGGGTTGAGAGGCTCTGGCTCCCAGCAGCTCAGACGAGGTCTCAGCTCTGCCTCAGAGGCCCGGCTTAGGGTATTTACGTAGAAACTTGCGCCCAGAGTGCCGAGAAGGAAAGCACTCCCCCGAACTCAGAACCGTGGTGTCTCCAAGCCCAAGACAACCACCACTTTCCTCCACGGGTGTGCGGCCAGCCCAGCACACCGGCAGCAGGGCCGGTGGTGGGCACCCAGTGCAGTGTGAGGGCATGGGCCGACTGGCAGTCTGGGTGGGCAGCCCTCACCCGGTTGTGGGGTGCTGCCAGGATCCCAGAAACACGCATGTCAGTGCCTAGCCCAGTGCTGACACCCCCTCTCCCCAAGTCCCTGCAGCCCTCTCAAAGGACTCCCAAGAGGGAGGGGGCAATCAAGCCCCCTTACACACCAGCAGGGTGCGCTGTGCTGCTCCAGCCTCGGTTTTCTAGGGAATGTCCCCCCAGGGGCACAGACTCCCAGACCCCTCCGCTCACAGACTCCCCGTTCCTCACACAGGAAACGTCAATCCACTTCTCATCTCTTTGTCCCCAGGCCTCTACTCCGCAGGGGAGATGGCCCACTGTCCCAGTGCAGGGCTGGAGGGCACAAGGCCCAGAGCATTCCCTGGGTGCTGCAGGCCGGCAGTGACTGAGAGAGGCGGAGGTCCAGGCCCCTACCCCCACGCCCCACCCATACTCAGGCCCTGGACAGTGCCAGCACTGCGGGGCAGGGACCAGGCTTGCCCTCTCCCAGGGGAGGGAGCCTCCATCACGGAGCTACCAGTTTCTTAGTTCTGACGTTGAACCCTCGGGCTGCTTGCTGCCTACACTAATTTCTGCCGTTCCCTCAGGAAGGAGCTAGAGAGCCAGTGTCGGCTGAGACCGCGAAGCCTTCCCTCCCTGACTCGCGAGTGACACCTGGGGGCTGCCTCACCCCTCTGAGTCAGTCTTCTCGGTGGCCAAAGGGGAAAGGATGTTACTGCCACCGCAGGCAGGATGCCACACGGCACGTAAGAAGCCAAACGGTTCTCCTCGGCCTCCCCAGAAATGTCACCATGAGGTCCCCCTTCACTGTTTCCTGTTTTATAAGAAAAATATGTGCATCTGAGACTGTCACACAGGCCAAAAGTCAGTTCTCCGGCTCCCTCTGGGCCCAGGCAGATTCAATCCTCTAGCTTTTCATACCACGCACAAACTTGAAATTAATCACTACAGAAATATTAAACAAAACCACCACCACTGAACAAAGGGCAGGCAGGCATCCTCACCAGGGCCAGGAACACTGCCGAATGCTGGTGGGGAGAGGCAGTGCGGGGCCTCTGGTGCAAGTGAGGGATGGGGGTGGCAAGAAGGTCTGAGAAGAGGGAGGCAGAGAGGCCTCACCCTGCCCAGGGCCAGAGCCCTCATCTCTGCTGGGGCCTGGGTGGGGGCTGCTGGGCACCCGGGACAGGTGAAAGTCTGGGCTTCTGTGGTTAAAGATGCTGCTTTTTCAGGGGGTGTCTGCCAGCCCGTGAGGTCCACCTAGACACACCCCAGAGGACAGGGGAGTGAGCTGCTTGCACCACAAGCCCCTCGGAAGCACCCCTGGAAAACGACCTGGTGTACAACCTCTGACTCACATGTGTGAAGCCTCTGGAGGAGGAGGGCTGAGCTGGTTCAGGAAAGAACCCTCAGTCTAGGCTGAGCTGATTTCTTGATTATTTTGTCCCCTCAGGCTGTCCCCAACCCAACCTGGTAAACAGGGAAGGCCAGGCAGGGCCCGAGTCCCTGACACACATCCCCCAGGCCAGCCCCCAGCCCTGCCGAGAGGGGCCCCAGAGGGCAGTCCCCTACATACCTTGCTCTGTGGCGGGGGGCCGGGCTTGCTGCTGCTCGGAGGGGCTGTGGCGGGAGTCGACAGGAACATGCTCCGGAACAGCCTGTGCTTCAGGCTGCTCTCCTGGGTCTTGGGGCTGGGGCTGCCCTCCCCACCCGGCCTGCCCGCCGAGCCCACCAGGCAGGACTGCGGCCGGGCCTCCTCGGGGCCATGCCTGGCTGCCTTGGTCCCACGCCTTCCGGCGGCTGCAGGGGGTGAGGTGCCGGGTGGGGAGCTCTGTAGGCAGGCGCCCAGTTGCAGGCAGCGCTGCGTGGCACCCTGGAACTCGGTGGGGCCCAGGGACTGTGCCTTGGTGGCCAGCCCATTGGGCAGGACCCGTGGGCTCTGAGGTTCTGGCCATGGCATCTGCTGGCGGCCTGCTGGTGCGCCCCCATTGCAGCTGAGGTAGAGGCCATGGGGGTCAGTGCGCTCAGACTGGGGGCTCTGCAGGTACATGTCCGGATCGGCAGCCCAGGGCTCCTCCCCTAACAGCCCCAGCGACTGTGCCCGCCGTCGGCTGGTGGGGCTGCGCCCACGCAGGGTGTTGGAGCTGATGGCTGACAGCTTCTGGATGTCGTTGAGCAGCCCCGAGATGTAGCCGTCCACGGGCACGGAGCTGCCCCGCACCACGGTCTGCAGGGGGAGCAGAAGAGCAGGGGTGAGAGGCCTGCTCTCGGCAGCGAGGGGCAGCCTGGGGCCAGGCCGGGAGGGGGCCTCCTGGGGGCCTTGAGGAGGAACACCTAAGGACCTTGTCTGCTATGTTATCCATCCACTCCTTGATTTTTCAGCCACTTACCTGGGCCTGTGGTGGGTCAGACCCGTGATGGAGCAGAAATAAAGGGAAAAGGCCCATTTCCATGGGGCTCGAAGTCCAGCAGGGCACACAGGTGAGGAATCACAGGCTACAATCCAGCACGCTGAATGGTGTGGGCAGCTGAGCTTGGGAAGCTGAGGGGAACCAGCGGGGACGGGGCACCCACCAGGCACTACCCGAGGCCCCCTGCCATCCTCTAGCTCTGCCTGTGGCCTTCGGGAAGATGTGTGGAGCTCTCCAAGGAGGCAGGGACCGTTCCGGACTCTCCTCCGCACTCACTGGCTTTGTGGCCTCCTAATCCTGACCCAGCCCCTCCCAGGCTCCTGGCTCTACCCTTCTTGACCCACACAACCCAATCCCCTAGTCCCACAGGGGCTGCAGGTCCAAGTACTGCGTGGGCATCCTTCCTACTAAAAGATTATTTGTTGTTCTCTGAAATTCAAATGTTCTTGGGCATTCTCTATTTTTATTTGCCATATCTGGCAACCCTTCCCTTTAGAGGACTCTCCAGGGTCCCCCTCCCTGGGTCACCCGGGGAGCGAATGAGAGGCTTGGTCGACAGGGAATAAATGGCGGCTAATTGATAGCTGGTGACTGGGTGGGTCCTCCAGGTGTCTTTGTGGTTTGGCCAGGCCCGGGCATGGGTGGAGCAGGAGAAGCTGAACTTGGCCTCCCCATCCCTGCCCCCCACCTCACCTTCATGGGCTGCAGCTGCACCCGAGTGATGCGTGAAGGGTCCACCACGGGCTTGGGCCGCCGGAGCGTGTCCAGGATGTTCTGCCATTGAGGGGGGAGGCCCACGAACTTCCCTTCTTTAGGGTCAAAGGAGGTGTGGACTCGGTGCTGGAAGTTCTGTGGGGCTGAGATCTCAGGGCGTTTCTTCTTTTTCTTGCGGAACATGGTGCCTGCGTGGGGAGGGTCAGGCTGAACTCTGGCGGGGGCTTCACCGGGGCCGGCCCCAGGGAGTAGGGGCGGCTGCAGGGGGTGCTGGGGCACCAGGTTCTGGGCGCTTTCCCTCCCTGGGAGCACGTCTTCCCTGCCTGGGCCCAGGGCTTCCCCGCACCCCCCACCCCACTTCCTCAGGAAAACGGCCAGCTCCCAGCAGAGGGGTCCCAGAAACAACAAAAGCGCCACATAAGCCAACACAGACAATCAACGAAGGAAAGAGGTGCCTGTCCGCTGGTCTGTGCCAGGCCCCCTGTCGAGCAGGTCGGCTCCGGGGTGCGTCCTTATGAGACCCAAAGCCCATTACAAACATCGCCCACTGTCCAAGAATTAAAAACGGGGCAAAGCGGGAGGAGAGCTGGCAGATGCATGTTATAAAGTGCGTATGACCCTGATTTTTCGACCAGATAAGAAAGTAGAAGAAAAGGAAAATATGCACCAATCTCACTTAGGAACATGAATGTGAAAGTCCTAAACTAAACTAAGAAGTTGAATCCAATAGTATGTTAAGTTTTTGTTGTTGGCTTCTGTTTTACCGCGATCAGCTCGGGTTGCCCCTGCACGGCTTGACCACAGAAGGCCTGTGGATGAGGCGCACAACCTTCACGAAAGCCAGCCCCCCAAGCCGCGGACCTGTTGCCGGTCTGGGACCCTGGCATTATCAGGTGCTCCGCCCAGACCCTGGGAAGCCCGAGGGGCAGCCTTCTCAGGAGTGAAGCTCTCCAGGGGAGAGAGCCCCGCCCCCCTGGGGCCCGTTCTCTGGGTCTCAGAACACTGGCTCACAAAACATCCAGTCAAACCTGCCTCCCTCTCCTCTCCTTGCCACTCTGGGGTCTAGCCGAGGCCCTGGTGCGCTCCCTCGCAGCTCCGGGTGGCGCTGGCGCGTGGATTTGAGAGAGGGAGACTGGAAACCCAGGAGGTCAGGTGACTCCTCCCAAGTGCTGCTCCGGCCTCACCTTCAGGAAGACCCTGACGAGACCACACATGATGGAGGTCGGGGTCACAGGGTCACTTTGTGTTTGGAGTGGCTCAGAACAGCTCAATGGGTTTTAAAAATCTTTTTCTTTAATGTGGTAAATAAAATGCACTTAGTGGGTTCTTATGTCACCTGAAAAGGTCACTTCTGGGTTTAAAAAAATATGTTTCTTGAATGCTCACGTCATTCATCTGTCCATAGATCTGGGGGACCTTTGGATACTGGGGCGTTCTCTTTTGGATCCTGCTCTGGAAACAGCATTTTCCTGGGCACTTCAGCAGGTTCTGGAGAAGGTCACAGATCCGGGAGGCAGCTGGCGCCCACTCAGGACAGCCATGGGCTTGAATAGCCGCAGCTTCCCCGCTGGAGTTCACCCAGTGTGGGTCAGTCTGAACCCATGTCCTACCCCTTGGAATGTCAGCTACTCTCCAGGGCCCTGAGGTTCAGGAGTCCACCAAACACCCCCTCCGAGCAAAGCACCCCATATGGGACCCCCACGGACCAAGGATTTCGAAGTGAATGCACCTATCTGAGTTGCAGGTGAGCTGTGGGGGTCCCCCACTAATCTGGGAGACTTGGAGCAAGTTACCTGGATGGTCTGAGCTTCCTTCACTGGTAAAATGGGGTTAATGGGCGATACTGCACAGGGTTCGGAGAGCATTACGTGAGCAGATTGCTGGGCCACTTCTCTGGGTCCCTGCTTCTAAGCTCGGGCCCTACAGACAGGGCACGTGCGCAGATACTAGCCTGGGAGCAACACTAAACTTCAGCCTCAGATTCCTCTGTCAAAGGGCCAGGCCTGCCTTCTGGGACCTCAGGCCCTCGACACCTCTTCACTGTTGATTCTTGATGGTTTGGTAAAACCTAACCTCCTCCCTCTCAGCCCTTGGCTATAAAGAGTTCATCCCTCTGTCTGTCCTCACAGTGTCTGAGGTAGATAGACCCTCTATCCTGGACTTAGCTTAGCTGAGCGGAAGGTTTCTTTCTGCTCCCCCACTCTATTAACTTCCCTGCAGATGCAGGGACACGCCCTAGAGTTAAAGACGAGCTGGCTAATACTTCTTCCCCCCAGGACATCCCTCTCCCCTAGCCCCTGCCCCAGTGAGGGCCGGGGTTTCGCAGGGTACGGCATCTTTAGCAGATCATCTGAACAACTCTAGGGTCCCTGAGGCTACCCCAACAGTGGTTTCAGAACACTCTTCACAGAGGCAGAAAGCAAGGCTGGGGGAAAATAAAGATGGTCAGGTGTTGTGGAGGTGAGGGCGGGAGCCGGCAGAAGCAATGATGGAGCTCAGGCTACGGGCTGGGACAGGCAGAGAGTTAGAGGTCAGAGCCAGTCACTTAGCTAGTGGGCAGTCCACACCTACTGGGAGCCTGCCAGCACTCTTCCAAAGTGTGGTGGAGTCGGCACTGCTGGGATGATATGATTATGTACATAGAAAGTTCAGGGGCAAAGCTCTACCTACAAACCCCTGGGCTTAGGTAAGTGAGTTGAGAAGGCCTCTAATTCAAGGTTAATATAAAAAAATCAACTGTAACCCTGGCTGGGTGGGTCAGTTGGTTGGAGTGTCACCCCGTGCACCAAATGGTTGCTGGTTTGACCCCTGGTCAGGGGACGTATCTAGGCTGCAGGTTCGATCCCCAGGTGGGACACTTACAGGAGGTAATTGATAGATGTTTCTCTCTTTCTCTCCCCTGTCTCCTTGCTCTCTAAAATCAACAAACATATCTTTAGATGAGGATTAAAAAAAGAGAAATCAATTGTATTTTGACATACTTGCAACAAATAGAAAATGAAATTTTAAAAAAGTTTCTGTGATATAGTGGGAAATAGAAATCTGGTCACGGCCCCTTGTTGCTGGCGCACAGCTCCTGAACCCTTGGATTCCCCAGGGTGACAAGAATGTCAAGCTCTCAGCCTCCCCTGCCCCCACCTGTGGGGAGGGGAGAAGGGCTGGAGACTGAGTGAATCACCAGTGGTCAGTGATTTAATCAATCGTGACTGTGTAATGAAGCCTCCATAAAAACTCCCAAGTGGCAATGTTCAGGGAGCTTCTGAGTTGGGAGCCCACCCAGGTGCGGGAGGGTGAGGCGTCTGGAAAGGGCGTGGCAGCTCCGTGCTCCTGGCCACATCCCTACACCACGCATCTCTCCCATCTGGCTGCTCCTGGCTTGTATCTCTCATAATGAGCCGGTACAAGTAAGTAAGTAGTTCCATGAGCTATTCTCACAAATTACTGAACCTGAGGAGGGGTCAGGGGAACCCCTGTTTTTATGGCCATTTGGTCAGAAGAACAGGTGGCCCACGACTGGCAACTGGAATCTGAAGTGGGGGCAGGTTGGGAGACTGAGCTCCACCCCACGGGGTCTGTGCGTCCCCCAGGAAGTCGGTGCCCAAGCTGGACTGAATTGAATGGTTGAACACCCAGTTAGTGTCCGAGCTGGAGCAACGGCCTCGGGAAGAAAAAACTCTCTCATTTGATGTCAAAAGTTACCAGGAAAAAGAACCATCAGGTACCATTTACCATTTTACATTAAATATATCAAATACCTACGAATTAATGTAATCAAAAATGTGTAAGTTTTCGACATTAAAAAGTATTAAAATAATTAAAGATATTAAAGAATGTTCATGAACTGAACAACTCAATTTTGTCAAGATGTCAATTATTCAATTAATTTATAGATTTAGTTCAATCAAAATTTCAGTGTATTTCTTTTTGTGGAAATTGACAAATTGATTTTAAAATTCACAGAGAAACATAAAGAATCAGGAATAGCCAAGACAATCTTGAAGAACAGAGTTGGAGGATTATGCTACTAGATATCGAGGTTACTGTAAAGCTGTATTAATTAATACATATGAGGCTGGCACAAAGACTGATGAACAGTGGAACAGAAGAGAGAATCTAGAAATAGACTCAGTCATATCAGGTCACTCAACTCACGACAAAGGTGACACCGCAGACGGTGGGAATGGATGACCTTTTCCATAAATGCAGCGAAGCAATTAGATATCCACATAAAAAAAAGGAATCCTGAAAAATGAATTCATATCACCCCTCAAAATTAATTGGATCTAAATGTGAAGGATGAAATAATAAAGCTGGAGGGAGTGGTGGTGGGGCCAGCGGAGGGGGACCCAGTGTCTGGCCATCCCTGCCCGGGGGCCCCTGCGAGCGACTGTGCGGAGCCTAAGTTTTTTTGGGGGGGCGTCCCCTGAAGCCTCTGACCTGCTGGCGCCGAAACCCGTCCACACCCGGGGGTCCCAGAGGTAAATTAAACTACCTGGTTTTAGTTTTCCAACGCATAATTTTTTTTTTTTAATGTTTGTAAGGGTTTATTTGATCCAAACTGACAACATACACCAGGGAAAAGATCTCAGAGGACCCTGAGAACAGCAGTTTTGTGGTTGCTTCTGTGCATTTGAAATTAAGGAGGGAACCTCAGAACAGTTTTGGGAAGGTAGGAGAACGCAGACCCGAGAATTGTGTTACAGGACAGTTGAGATCAGAAGGAGGGGCTGAAAGGGGGCGCTTCAGAGCTGTGCCGACCAGGACGCACAGAAACAACGAACAGGGCCTGCCTAAGGCCCTTTTGCTAAAGAAGGTGTGTGCTGGGGCGGGACTGCTGCCTACCACCTCCTGCCCAGTTAGGGTTTCTAGTCAGGGCGCCCTGTGAGGGTACTTTCCACAGAACCCCTTTCTCTTCTTCTGCACCAGCTCAGAATTCTTGAGGTCACAGGTTAGGAGTAGGGCTTCTTTCTAAAGATTTCACCGAGATTGATTTGTACATGTAGTGTGAATGCAATGGCAGTTGAAGGAAATACAGCAAAGTATTCATTATTGTTGAGTTTGACTGGTGGGCTACAGGTGATTTCCTCCTACCCCATCTTTTTTTCTTTTCTTTCTTTTTTTTTTTTATTTTTTTGAGAGAGAGAGAGGAAGGGAGGGAGAAAGTGAGGGAGAGAAACATTGATCACATTGATCGGTTGCCTCTCGTACGCGCTCTGCACCCTGACCGAGACCAACCCCCACCCAGCCACGTGCCCTGACCAGGAACTGGATAGGAACCTCTCACTCTGGGGGACGACGCCCAACCAACTGAGCCACATCAGCCAGGGGAACCCCATCTTTCTACTCTTCTCAATTTTCCTCAAAGCCAATGAATGCTTCTCTAAAGAAAAGGGCGATCCATGATGACTGAGCCCCGAAGAGCCACTCACCCACTCAGGTATCTAATGCTCCGAGTCATTGGGAGTGAAACACCTGAGACACGAACATCCTGCTTCCTTCCCACCACAGAGCCCGAGCCCTGGGAGCACACCCGCCTGCCCAGACAGGGGCCCTCAAGGTGCCGGTTCTAGTTCTCCATCTTCCACACCCCCCCTCCCAGGGAGGGCACTGCTGCACCAGCCCTGAGGGCGTAGTGTTAACGCAAAGAGGCCACGCCAGCGCCAGCCCTTCCAGTTGCCATCCCCAGATTCTCACCTCTGCATCCACACTCAATTCATCTAGTAGAGGCACTTTCCTCAAAGACGGGACCCTGAGGAGGAAGGAAGATGATTTTTCTTCAGAGAGCCAGTCTACCTTTCCTTCTGACTTGGAAGTGCTGTGGGCCTCAGACTCTGCAGGAGACATGGACAGAGGCGGGGCGCCAGCTCAGACTCGGGGTGACCTCCTGTCTGTCTGACACCTCTCCCCAGCACAGGGCAGGGGGATTCTTCCCCAGGCTGGGGTGCATCACTGTAACAGAGGAATGCTTTGAACTTTCCTCTTTGGAATGTCTGCAAATGCTGCTTTCCGGCTGGCTGGCCCGAGACTGGACCAGAGGGGATGCCAGTGCTGGCAGGGACGAGCCCAGCCCAAACCAGTCGGAGAAGGAAGCTCCCTGGGCGCAGCCCCTGCCGAGGCTGCTTCCTCCAGCGGGAGCCGGCAGAGGAGCCTGTCAGTTCCTGGAAGAGTCTCTGGAGGAAGTGCTGCCACACCCAGTGCACCCGAGGGCAGAGCTGCTGGGAGAGTTCGGGGAACCACAGAATGGGGTCACTGACGGGGTGGGGGGGGGACAGGGGACACTGTCATGCTGGAGGGGACTCGAGACAGAAAGGGAAGTTACTGTTCTTAAGCACCTACTATGTGGGTAGGCCCTTTCCAAGGATCAACTCATTTAATCACAACAATGCTAGGGGGTAGGAATTATTATTATTCACAAATCCAGACAGGCTCAGAGAGGTTAAGTAACTTGCTCAAGGTCACAGAACCGGGGTTTGGGGTTGGGCCCTGGATGGGGTTCCACAGCCCCTGCTCCGCCCACCGGGCCCACTCCAAGGGCCTTGGGTTGCTGTTCGTCTCCTTCCTGGGGACTCTGTGAACACGGCCAGGCTGAGCAGCTTGAGTGAGCTCACAGCAACATGTAGGAGCGAGTGGACTAGGGCCAGCTCCATCGACCAAGATTGCTAGGTTCTTTCCCAGCTGATCTGTGAGTCAGAAGCCAAGGGGGCTGGGGCTGCCCTGACTTGCAGGTGGACCCTCACTTTATCTGAAACCAGGTTTCTTTTTGCCTTGTGAGGTGTGGGTGAAATATTCCAAACAGCTCACGTTGGTGGCTGTGATGTCAGGGCCTGGCACGTACGAAAAAGCCACAGAAGCAGCAGGGCTGCGTTCTCTCCAGTAGGTCAGGCCGCCTCCACAGGGTCTCGGTCTGAAGGCAGGCAGCCCACAGGCTTGGCTCGAGCAGTGGTAGGTAGAACTTTGTGGCTGCTGCTACAGTTCCGTGACCACACGGGGTTTGGGTGGCAGCCCTCAGAGCAGGGCGCTGTGGCGTGGCTGGCCTAGAGGTCATACAGGGGTAAGCAGAACAGCCGCAGCGCGGGGGTCACCCTCCCAAACTGCTCCTCCTCCAGGGCCAGGGCCTGGGGTGCGAAGGCTACCAAGCTGCCAGGTCCCATAAGCCCCAGGCAGGACTATAGCAAAATGAGCCTGCATTTGGACCTCAGACCACAGCTCTGACATCCCGATGAGTGCAGCCCCTGGGGGCGGCCATTGGGAGTGACTCCGACTGCTCTAAACAGGCTCCAGTACTTCCAGAAGTCCTCTTTGGAAACCACCTTTGGAGCCCATCTTGAACCAACACCGAGTGTTCTCTGAACCTGCCAAGTCTGCTTTCACTAGAAGTGGTGGTATCTGACCTGGTCGCCCACCTTACCCTCCAGGCCTGGCTTCCAGTGGGTTTTGGCTATTTCCATACATCAAATCCATTTCAAGGAAGGGACACTTAGCCCCCGGGAGGGATTCACAGGAACACACCGCAGGCTGGGAAGGTAGCTTCCAGAGACCAAGCGAAAGGAGTGTGCAGCTACTCTGAAGGGGGCAGGGCCTGGTTGGCTGCATTCTGAGGTGCTGGTTAACTGTGTGCTGGGAATGCAGCCGGAAGACTGGGGGAGAGGAGGCAGCTGCACCCAGCGCCCTGCTCTGAGTGCCGGGGAGCGAGAGTGGGGGCACAGCACCGCTTCCTCTGCCAGAGGCTCAGCTCCTGCTAATCAGAGCTGAGCTCTGGCTCAGGGTGGCCCCAGGGAACTCGGTTCCTGAGTTCCAGCTTGTGGCCTTGGCCTACTGTCCTTTTAAGGTCTCAGCCTTTTAGGTGGTGCCCAACGAGTGGACTCCTTTGCCTCTGCCAGCCTCTCCTGTGTGGCAGAGTGGGAAGAGGAACAGCATGTGTTCTAGCTTGAGGCCCCATTCTGGGCATTCCCAGTCACCGTGACTCAGGGAGGGCCTGGTGTAAGCGCCAGGTCATGGGCCGAGCGCTTCACGTGCAGTGTCCTCACCACGAGCCCGTGAGGTAAGACTGTTACTGTCCCATTATGCAGATGAGGAAGCCAACGCTCAGAGAGATTAAGTGATTTTCCCAAGTCAAAGAGCAAAGACGGGGCAGAACCTGTCTGTCTGCCCCAGGCCCTGATAGGGACATGGCTGTGGTCAGCTGCCGCCTCCCTCTGCCCACAAGGCGCAGTTCTCGGCCCACCCAGGGTGCTGCTTGGGGGGAGGAACTATTCTAGAATCGCGGCACTGAGACAGAAATATGACCCTGAGTTCAATAGCAATTAGACAGGCACCCCTCCTACTGCCACCATCCGGGCACAGAGTGGCCCACAGAGGACGACGCTGTCACGTCACCTCCAGAGCCGGCCCTCTCACCCAGACATCTGCGGCTTCCCGCACGCCGGCCCTGAGGAGTGGGTGCCTCGAGGCCCCCGGGTGAGAAGAGCGTGGGCCACAGCCAGCCTCCCATCAGGGAATCCTCATTGGCCAGAAGAGTTTTCTCAAACTTTACTTCCTGGAGTTCATTTAAATATAAAATTATATTATTCAATAATTTATTCTAAAGTACTTATTGTGCACTTACTCTGTTCTGGGCTCTCGGACCACAGTGAGCAAAACGAGCCCTTTCCCCCATGGAGATAGCTTGCTTTTCCAAACAGATGAGGCTGGTCACCCTCCTGAGCTCACCTCCCACCAGAGGAGATGGTGACGCTCGCCCTGGGGGGCTCACTCGGGGGTCTGGCCTCCCCTCTGGCCCTGCCCAAACCGCAGTCCCTCTTGCCTGTCTCCTGCTCACGCACTGCTCTGGTGAGTTCGGTGATGGGGAGCCCCTCCCCCTTCCCGAGGCCCCTGCCCTCTGTCCCTCGGTCCCCTTGCTACTCATCCTTTGTATGGGGCTCAGCTCTGTCCTTTCTCAGCCTCCACCGGGCGTCCAGGACTACCATCCGCCCTTCTTTATAGGACGTGAGAGTCGGGCGAGGTGGCACCCCAGCACCCTTTCCTGGCCCCCAAACACATACCAGGGGGAAGGGCCTGAAGAGAATTTCATTTGCTTTTCCGCCCAGTTGTCACCGGCGGGGTAGGTGGGTCCTAGAGCCAGGCCGTGGCCCTCACGGCCACTGCCTGAGGGTTCCGTAAGATCTGCCTGAGGCCACTGTGCTACAGTGCGGAGTGTCCCCAGGACGCTGAGTAGTACTCGGGTCCTGTCGTCACACTGGAGTGGCCCAGAGAGATGCGGTGTGTGCAGGGCAGAGGGCACTGTGCACAGAACAAGCCTGCATGTCTGGGCTCCCCGCCCTCGTCATCATTCCCACACTATAGGTCCCAGTGAATCCCCAGGGGAGAGATAATGGGGCTGTTGTTGAAAAGAATATGATAATAAAGCTCATTCAATCACTTGTGTCAACACTCCAGTTGAATAAGAGGCCAAAGAGCCAGGCTGGCCAGCCAGAGCAGGTCAATATTGACTCAGGCTCGCCTCTCAGGCCCGGCTCCAGCGGCACACTCTGCTGCAGCCCAGCGGTGGCAGCTCAGCCCTTTGACCTCTGCTCACTGTGCTGAGAATCCTAACCCCTCCCCAGTCCCTGGGACCGCACTTTCCTGGGCATGGGGTTATCTCCAAGAGAAGAGAGAAGCATGGCCTGCCGGGGGGCACTGCAGGCCAGGCTCTGTCTCACCAGCCCGGATTTGCAACAGCTTCAGAATGCAGAGGCCTGGGTCCCCATCACAGTGTCCTCAGTGCCTCGCCAGAGAGAACTTCCAGAGTCGTCCACTCACAAGATCAGGTCCCCAATCACACACACACAGATTGTGTTTTCACAGCCCTTAACTTTGTCTATTTCATTTACCCCCTCACTCTATGCTTACAGTACCACTGTGATTTGAGCCAAACCTGCTTTGCTGGGTGCAATTTAAAGACGACAGGAGGCTGGGGAGAGGAAGGAGGAGATGAGAAAGGGAAAGCACACAGGTACATGTACCAAGTACCCAGAACATGCCAGGCACAGCCGGTGCTTTTTATTATTAGTGCATTCGATGGTTACAACTCTACGCGGTAGATACTACGTGCTCTGTTACAATTAAAGAAACCAGAGCTTGGAGAGAAGCTATTGTTTGAGATGGTAAGTGTGGAGCTGGGATCCAACTCCAGTCTCTCCAACTCCAAGCTCCTCTATTCCCAGAGAAGGTAAACGACCTGCCTCAGATCCCAGAGCTACTTAGAGATCAGACTGAAAGCCTCAAGCCAGAGGCTCCCTCTACCCCAGGCAACACCTGTGTGGAGCGTCACCACGAACACACACAGAGCGTGCCACTGTTTCTGCCTCCAAACTCATACCCCCTTCCAGAAACGGGCCCTGCCCGGGGTGGGCTCCCTACCCACGCCCCACAGACCCTCTTCTGCCTTAGCTGTCTTCCTGGGGCTTCGCTCTAACAAGCTCCAGAGTCTCCTGCCACAGAGCCAAACCATTCTCAACGTTCTCGAAGCGAGGAGAGCTCAGGTAGCTTCACCTTTTCCAACACTAACAAGTGGAGGTGAGAGACGTGGTCCTCTGCTGGGCTGTTCTCATTTCCCAAGGTGACTCCTCACAACTATCCTGCGAGGAGGGCACGATCCTCCCCATTTTATAGCCGAGAACATTCAAGTTTGGAAAGAAGTAAAGCGACTTGCCTATGGAATCAAAGGCAAGGCCAGGATTCGAACCCAGCTCTTCTTGGTTCCAAATGTGTTCTCAGTCACTGTCCTACACACGGCATACAGGGAGCTCACAGCATTGCAATAAATGCTGTGCCGGCCACAAAAGACCTGAACACAGACCCAAGCCTCCTCAACTCCCCCACCTACAAAAACAAGGAGACCCTAAAAGAACACCAGAAGGGGGCAAAGCACAGAAAGCACAGCTATACCCTGGGAACTCCTTATGTCTTAGCGCTTAGTGTCCCCAGCGGCATCTCCATCCCAGGTTGCACGCTGCACACTGGGTACCAGAAAAGCCGGAGCAATTTCAGCAGGTTGGAGATCCAGGGAGCGAGCTGTCAGGCTGGGGTGTGCAGAGCAGCACCTCTGCCTGGGACTGCCTCCTGGGCTGCTCGGCACCGGCGCTGGGCCTGCGGTTGACTTCTTGTGCACAGCTGTGGAGAGGCTGCCCTGCCCCAGACGGGCATCGTGCCTGATGACAGGCAGAGGCTGGGCTGGGGGCAGGGCGGGGCATTCGAAGCCCAGCAGCCTGCTGTGGGCTGAGGTGGTGGAAGTAACAATGCATCTCCACTAAGGATTGAGAAATGGCACCTAAAAGGGATGACAGCTGCTGCCTAACAGGACTAAGAATGGGCTGGCCTAGGAGAGCCACCTGCCCGCTCACTGTCCCTTCCAATCTGTCCTCATGCTGGTCTCCGAAGGCTCCTCCTGGACACCCTACCGGGGATGGAGTTCCCTCACTCACCTCTGGCTGGCTGCCTCCCTCGCGTCCTCTTCTTCCTGATTCCTCACCCTTCGGTGGGCAGAGCTCTCAGGCACCCAGTGAGGGAACACTAAGCACCTTGCCAGTCAGTCCTGTGAGGCCTGGATGGGAAGAGACCAGAGAGCCATTGTGACAAATATGACAAGTGTCCCCATGGATTTTGCTAATGGCTGGAATCCAGAGCATTCTGAACAGCCCCATGCCAGCCTACCTGCTGAGCCACTTTCTTAGGTGCAAAGGGAGGAGGAGGGAAACTCACAGGTTGCAAGGGGGCAGTGTGCAGCAGCGCTTCCCACCCTTCTTCCAGCCGCTTCCTAATCCACAGCAGCCACAGCGCCCCCTTCCCCGCCTCGCAGGCCTGAATGGGGCGGGAATCTCTCAGCGACCCCGGCGCACCCTGGAGGTAAATCCGCGCCCACAGCCCCGGAGCTCTCACTCCCTGCGCTCAGGCACGGAGGGCTCCGAACTTTAGGGAGTGAGAAACTGGGAAAGGGGGCCACGCGTACAGGGAAGCTTGTCCCCTGGTCCCGGCCCCAGCCCGAGGAGGTTAGTCAGCTTCCAGGGGTGGCGGGGACACCCACCTGCGAGCAGGAAGCCTCCGGAGCACTCGGAGAGGGCGCGGGAGTCGGCCCGCCCTCCGCGGGAAGGACCTGGGCGCCAGGAACTGCGAGGAGAGGCCGCGCTTACAAGTTGGTACAACACCCGCTTCACCTGGCCGCGAGTTTGATTTTAGGGTGTGGCTCCAGGGAGGACTCGGCGGGGAACACAGAGCCCGGGTTTGCCCGGGGGGAAAAAAATGCCAAGGGGGAACGTGGCCAGGAGCCTCTCTGCGCTAGCGTGCCTCCCTACACAACCCTTTCCCTCAAACCCTTGGGCCCTGGCTTCCTCTGGCCCATCACCTTGGGACCCTGATCCCGGCCTAGCCCGCTGTGATCTGCCAGTGGCCACCAGGTCCCAGGGCCTCTACCTGGGTAGAGGCCCCCCTGACCTGGATTATCTGCTGAGCCCCTCTCTGTGTAAATAACTCATCAATTTGCATTGTAGATGCTCTGGGCTGCCTCCTCCCAGATCCTAGAAGTGCTGCAGGTCACCTCCCACACATCTCGGAGTGTCCCAGTGGGAGTCCTGCCACCTGCCACCTTGGCCTGTTTCTCCATCTGGGAGGACTCCACAACTGTCCTGGGCAGGAAAGCTGGGATTAAAAGAGATTCCAGTTTCCTTGCCAGACCTTGCTCAGTTCTAACAACTCTCTGGCCTCAGGTAAGGGGACCTCTGGGGGAAAGAAAGCTTTCAGGGGCCCTGCACCCCCAAACAGAGGATGGGGCTCGTTTCCACAGCCAGCACCTCCTGGTTGTACCCTCAGTGGCCTGGCTTAGGACCAGCATGGCTTTTCCAAGTAGCTCACTCCCGACTGCCCTCTGCCCTAGTTCTTTTGATTCGGAGGGTGATTTCTCCTGTGTAATAATGTTGTGGGGGAGGGGCAGAGGCCATCTGTGTCTTCCCCAGTAAAGAAGTGAGAATATCCTTGCTGTTTTAGACTTGGGCCCCCAGAAGGAGCTGTGTCCAACTGAGTGGTGAGGGGATTCTGGCTTGGAAATTCAGTACACCTGTGACCCAAATGGCTGCCCACAGGCGGTGGATGGGTGACCAGTAGTATGACTACAAGGGGACCCAGGGCAGTGCAGAGGTGTTGGGCACCTCAAACTTTGGTTATTAATTGAGGTTACTATTGTCATGTATCATTTTTCTTCACGAATTCTTTAGCTACATCAATGCAATTTACAGATAAAGCAATTGCATATGGGCTGTATTGCTTATGCACACTGTACTCCAGACTCCCACCGAGCTTAGTTAAGGTGGTGAGTGGGAATTTGCCAGCCCCAGGCAGGCCTGCACCCTGTCCAGCTGCCGCAGCGCCCTCAGCCTGTGTGGGGAAGCATGGCGGTGCCTGCCAGAGATGCTGGCCCTGTGGGCTGGAGCGCGGTGTGGAAGCTGGGGTGGTCGCAGGCAGGTCTCTGCTCCTTACCCTGTCTCCCTCCTCCTCTCCGTGTCTTCCCCCCAAAATTCTTTCTCTTTGCTCAGGCTACACCATAGGCCCAATTCTATTAGCCAACCTCTGACCTCCGGCAGCCCCCCAGGAAGCTGCCTGCTGAGCCTGGGACAAAGGGGCAACGTGGTACAAATACGGCTTTCTCCACAGATTAGTTACATAGCAGTACTGGCTGTGGGAAGTGGGTTGTGCTGGGTGGGTGGGGTAGGGGGCTGGCAGGGGGAGTTGGTTGCTGAGGATTTGAAATGAGCCATGAGCCAAAGCTAGAATGAAATGCATAACATCACTGAACCTAGAATCAGCACCCTAAATTATATTTTACTGACAAGCAAATGCACACATGAATTCTCTTCATACAAGTAAATACCTTATATACCAAAATGACAGCTCTAAGCAGTACTTTTGAACCGTTGAACTATGACAAGGTGTAAACATTAGAATATTATCAGAAGTGAATTGTTATTTAATATGGTTTGAATCCAGGCTTGGGTATTCCAGAGAGGCTACCAGCCAAGTCCCATCCTCACCCTGCAAGCAGTGAGTCATGGGAACCCTGAGGTCCCCCCACCTTTGGGAACTTCGATGGGGTTTGGGGAGAGGTAGAGACCCCCAAATAACACTGCCTATGGAGGTAATGAACCTGTCATCACTGAAGGCCTCAGGTGTGCTAGAGAAAAGCTCCATGCTGGATGCCAGGCTGGACCAGGGCCTCGCTCAGGGCCCTCACAGCCCCACGTTTCGGCACTTTTGGTCGCATCTACAGGTGGGTCAGCGGCAGTGGCTTGGACGACTGTCTGCAAGTTAGGATGGCTGGGATGTGCAGCATAGGTCCTGACTGATTAACTCCTGTGGGTGATTCCTCCCCTTCTCTGTTGTCCTCTGAGCCATGCCCAGCTCAGCCTGCCCAGGAGGACAGGACAGAACTCCAGTGCAGGGAGAGGCAGGGACAGTCTGGGGGGTAGCATCCCCTCCAGCGTCCACGTGCCCGCCTCTGGCCCTGTTCCCATGGCGCTGCACCTGGCCAGGCACAGGGATCAGGGACAGCCTCTTCTGGAGAGCCCTGGCCCCGCAGAGGCCTTCAGGTCGAGGGAGCCGTCCATGCACTGCTGCTCTGCAGACTGGGCAGGAGCTCTGAGCAGGGGCAGAGAACTGACATTTCACCCCGGGCGATGGGTCTGGGAGCCCTGCCATCACTGGGGCACTGGCCAACCAGAACCGTGTGAGAAGGCACACTGGGCGGGGCGGGCACTTGCCGGCTCCTTCTTGGCCTGGGTCTGTTGGGGCCTGCTGCAATGTCTGAGCACCTACAGCGAGGGCTGGGAGCCTGGGCTAGGACCAAAGAAGGAAGATACGGATTGGCTTGTGGTTTAGAAACACAAACACATTATCTTTTCCCTGCACCTTTCTGCAGCGTGACTTGAAACGCTGCCTGGGGATCGGGAACACTGTTGACAAGCTCGCTCACTGCTAGGGCTCCTTCCTCTGGATGACTCTGCCCTCCTCTAATAATACTAGTAACAATACCTGCCAATTATTAAACGCTTCCGACGGACCAGGCCCCATGCTCAGCCATCCACACGTATTATCTCACTCCAGGCTTCGCCACAATCTTAGCACAGAATGATGGTCCCATCATCTTCTCACTTTACAGGTGAGGAGATTGAGACTCGGGTGGTTAAGGAACCAGCTCCAGGTCTGTAGTTGCTGAATGGCGGGGCCCAAGTTTCCACCCACGTGCACCGCCCGATGGCTGTCTCAGCTCTATGCGGCTCCGAGGCCCCGGCTCCGAACACTGCCCGATATGACTTGACCATGATGGGTCCTAGTCCTGGGAACAGCTGGTGGGGGAGGCACCGGTCCCTTGCCTCCTCGTGCCAACGCTGCCACCCTGTATGGGTAAGTCACGTGACACTGATTTCTCCCCAGTTTCTGACAAGGAAATGAGGACCCCTACACAGGCATGGGGGTGAGGTGCAGAGGCGCTGCATTTTCTCCCACCCTGTCACTGAGTCCTCTGCCAGGAATCAGGTGCTAGATTCCCCCAGTTGTGAGCCAGCATCCTGTCGGAAGTCCCTGGATCAAGCCATCTGTCCTTCACAGACTTGGAATGGGCCCAGGACCATGAGGCCCACATGCAGGCACTGCCAGCAAGATGGGCCCGGCACACCTGCCTGCTCCTTGGCTGGAGGCAGCCGCTGGGGCCTGGGAGGGAGGCAAAGAGTAGGGAGACCTACTCTTTGGAGTAGGTCTCTTCCTCTCCTTCTCTTCCAGGCTGTCCAACACCCATCCCTTCCTGCTCTTGGGGTGGCCTGGGCCAGTGCTACTCACTCTGATGGCACCACATCTCTCTCTGTTGATGGGGCTGAGAGGCAGGTGCCCACCTCTGCGGCCCTGGGGGTGTGAGTTGAGTAGATAGACACTGCCAAGCCCCTGAGGTCCTGGAGCAGGAGAGAGGCAGAGCCCCGCTGCAGAGAGCACGGGTTCTTGCAGGACCAGGGCCTTCCTGTCTCCCCAGACTTCCAGCACGCCTCAGTCTCTTCGTGTGTGTAGGGGGGTAGGGGATGTGGCCCGCCCTGCAGAAGGGCGTGGAGTGATGAGATGTAGAACAGGGTGGAAGGTTCCTGACCCTGGGTGAGGGACGGAGGAGAAAACCCCCTCCCCATGCTGCACACACACATAGCTGCCACAGCGAGCAGCAGAGCCCAGTCTGGTGTGCCACAGGGGCGTATGCCAGGGCTCTTCCAGCAGAACTTGCTAAGGAATCCACCCCACAGCTCTATCCCCTCCAGACCCTGGAGAGAGAACCCAGCCCAGGGGCAGCACAGTCTGGGCCCAGTGAGGTATTTGGGAGAAGTCCATGGGGCCCCCCCGCCTGGCTGCCGGACAGACATAGCCTGCTGCCTCGAACCTCTGCAGAGGCAACTCCCACACCCAGAAGCCTCTGTCTCTCTCTCAGCCTCTATGCTGTTTCTCCAGCTTGTATCTGCACTGGGCTCCCTATGCCAAAGCGAACACACAAGGACGGTCCTCCCCAAATGCAAACTGACACTGGGGGCCACACTTGCCTGACTGTCCCAAAGAAGCCTGTTGACCTGGACGAGCCACTCAGATGCGGGGGACACCGTCCGCCCCCTTCGAGGGGCTGAGGCTGGGGCAGTGCAGGCTGCGGTGCCGTTTTCAGGACAGAGGTTACAAGCTGCCCTGGGGAGGGCTGGGAAGAGTCACTTCTGTGCTGAGAACACACATCTTAGAGACATGATGAATTCATTTAATATCCTCTCACTGCAATCACTTTACAGCCCCTGCTCTTAATGGGCTCCGAAGTTCCCCCCAAATGTCTGTTGCTGGCAGTTAGCTCTCTGGCTGGCACTCTGGCTGGCAGAACTAACGGTGGGAAGCCTCCTTGAATGGAAACCCTTCACTGCCCCAGTGCCTTCACTGTCCTTTCCTCCCTCTCCTGAGCCTCTGGTGGCCACCCCAGTCTGAGGCTGGGGCAGGGCTGTGACCGGCACCCAAGCCCTGGTGCCCAGGGCCTGACTTGAAGGAAGGACAGGTGAGCGGGGGGAGTAGAAGGCTTGTGACCAGGTGAGCACTCTGGCCAGAGGAAGGGAAGA